CTTGGTTTCGCCAAGAAATCCCAAATAGATTTCTCCATCTATCTAGCAATTCTTGAAGGGACTTAGAAAGTGGATAAGAAATAAATGGGTAGATTTGCAAGGGTGGCTCTAATTAGGAGTGATTCTTTCTCCTAAAGAGATGTAGTTTCTTTTCCAAAGGGCTAGCCTTTTGGCAAACCTCTCTAAGACCAACTTCCAAAAACCATCAGCTCTCGGGTTTCCCCCCAAAGGTAAATACTAGGTAGGTTACATGCCAACTCCTCACCTCACAACCTAACACCCCAACTAAGCTTGAGAGTCCCCCCTCTTCCATCTTAACACCAACTATTCCACTTTTGCTACAGTTTATCCTTAGTCTTGACATGCCCACAAAGTTGTCTATCAATGACTTCATAATTTTCACCATCTCTAAATTAATATCCTCATAGAACAAGATTGTATCATAAACAAATTGGAGATGGGAAACAAATACTTGATTTCTATTGATTCTCCACCCCCCAAATAAGACCTTGTGTGTTTGCAGTCGCAATCATACCACTCAACACTTCTACCACTATGGTGAAAAGGAAAGTGGATAAAGGGTCTTCCTGTCCGATACCTCTCCTAGCTGGAAAGGAATCTTTTCCTGTCAATAAGGTTTTCAATGATTAGGTTCATAGTTCAGCCCCTTTCACCCTCAATATTGTTTCCTATGCTAGTCTCGACAATAGGTTGGCAGCATAAAAGCAAGTATCAACAATTATAGGAGTGCCTCTAGCCGGATCTGCATTAAAAGGGACAGCAAGGTTAGAAGGAGAAACGAAAGGACAAGGAACCAAATCAGGCAAAGAACAAGAAGGGGGATCCGGGGATGATAGACTCCTTGCTCCACGGTGGAGCAAGCCTTTTGTTGTTCAAGACTTGTCCGCAATTATCCTTAATAGGTACACTTTGACAGCATCCTTGGATTGTTTCTCCTATGCTTTGTTGTAAGGATCATTAATGAAACCCAAATTCCACGTTTTGACTCCATGTTCCATAGCCTCCTCCAGTCCTTCGGTTGTTTCAACTCTTCTCTGTCGACATTAGATGTAACATCCATCATATCTAAGGCAACCAGACCTGATTCCTTTGGCAACGACTGTGTTACACCCATAGAATCTTCGAACAATAACTTTGTTCCAAAGGTATCATCGTCCCAAACTTTATAGGTCTTGTGGCACCCATACTTCCTATGCTCGATGGTTGATCAGCTTCATAATCTTCCTCTGGAAAACAATCATCCCACTTACTTTCTTCCTCTGAGTCTTCTCATAAGCATTTGAAGAACTTGGGTTAGGCTTGTTTGGAGACATGGCATTCTGGGGCGACACAAGTTTCCACATCTAGGAGTTTTTTACATTCATTCGATCCACCTGAAATCCACCTTCAAAAGGATTAGGAGTACATGTCCCCTATTTTTTCATAGAGGCACGATGAAATGAAATCGATGATGACAATGGGTCAAAGTTACCATCTCCCATCGCATAATTAAAGCCTCTAACCTGCCAATTTGCAAGTCACATGATTTACTACTTGGGGCATGTGACTCACACGAGAGTATTGGTTCGCCTAAAGGTTCAACTCATGGCGCCTTTTCAACTTCCAAAGAGTTTTTTGGGTTAACCAAAGCTTCTCCAAAAGACCTCTCCTCAATCCTTCAATTTGGTTTGGATGAAGCAAGATCGTTCGAAGAAATAGTAACCTACGAGTTTGCTTTCATAGGAAGGAACGATTAGGTTTCCTTCCTGCAATTTGAATGTTTTTCCTCACCCAACCCCTCAGTGCCACATGTTCATTGCTCCGCCACGTCAACATCTTCTTCTACCTTCGGCAAGTTCTCCTACAACTAAGCCTCCAACGATGAGAGAATCCAAACTCTGAAAGTAACACCATCGAAGTCCAGATCCAGAGAGTGAGGGATAGAGTCTTGTTGTACCCTTTCCAACAAACTGGTTGCTACACTCAAATCTGAAGTGTCCAACTCCTTTAAATCTCCTCACCTTTCTACTATGATCTTGAAAGTCTTTGATGATCCGACATGGAAGGGGAAGTCCAAGCACCGTAACATGAGGGATTCCTTTTGGTTCAATAGCATTAGCACTAGGATTCCATCGCCCGGTGGTCACCACTCCTTTTGAAGTCTGAACTAAGAGAACATGAATCTCCACGTTTAATAAGCTTTCAAACTCCAGGAGAGCTTTATCATCTTTGAACGGAAAGAGCTTCAAATCACCATATGGGTTAAATTTCCTTTGATGTCATCTGCAACCATTCGTCAGTTTACCACCTTTTTATTAGCATAAACCACTAATTTTTCCCCCAGCTTAACAGTTGTCGGTTGTGAGAACATACATTCATCTCTACTAGAGAGATTGCCACCCATAGCACCTTTCACAAGAAATCTTGTAACATCTTTGCAAAGGAAGCCCATCCTCTGCCATGTTTTCCAATTGGAACACAAATTATTTGTTTTCTTCCTTGGTTGTACCATTCCATTAACATGATGAACCAACCTCTAGGATTGAATCGTAGCTCCACTTTGAAAATCTTTTCATTAATCTTGAAGAAATTCCTCCAAGTGTGGATTTTCTTTGAAACTATTGCCACATCCATAAAACCTTTTAACCATGCTACAGCATCAAACTGAAGAAAGATCGTTGCTTTCTTATCTTCTCGCACCTTTAACGTGATCTGGTTTCTTACCTTTATCTCTTCAAACAGGAAAAATTTAGTTTCCAATCACACCGCCTGGAGCCTTCCTCCATTTACCAACTTCTCCGAACTCATTCTTTCCAACCTCCGTCGCCATCAGGGGAACATTATTTTTAGCATCAGTCACCTTCTGGCTCACTGCTCCAGAAATCAAACCAGCATCGATCCTGCTACAGTCGCAGCAAACTGGGACACAATCATCAGAAACAACTCTTCAATCAACTTCATGTTCAACACTCTCCGCCTCAGACTTCTCAATGCCCTTCTCCTTCTTTCTTTTGTCATATCTGAAGATCACCCACACCCATTCTTCTTCCTTCCCCCTTTGTTCCTTACCCGTAAATAATGATTTCAAGGTCCCACATTTTTCACTTTTGGGCATTTGCAAATAAATGAATTCCTTTCATCCACCCTTAAACGATCAAAACGAATGCAACAGTTCCGACAAATATAGTGGCTTGTACTGTAACAGGACTTGGGCCTCGGTCAATTGGGAATGCCCAGAAAGAAGAACAATCAAAGAATTTTTGAGGAAACCAAAACCAAATAAACTTCTGATTCAAGAAAGAGTTACATGCTAGGTAGATAAAATGTCCCGGCTGGTAAAGTAAAGTGTAGGCACCATCTTGGGGAGCATCTGAAGGAAGAGAAATAATCTGAAAACCATATATACATGATTGCTATTGGTCAAAGTTTCAGCATAACTCCACTGGTTGCATATTCAATAGTTACTATTTACCCCTGACTTCAATGTTCGTGATAGGGAATTCAAGAATTTCGAAGCTGGAGAAATCAGGTCTCTTCACCAAATCCTGTTACAGAGCTTTAAGTGGTTCCTCCCTTACAATTCCTTGGGCATATTTGGAAGGTGCAAGTTCCTCCAAAGACAATCTTTTTTGTGTGGTCTGCCAAGTGAGAAAAGGTTCAGACCATTGGCGCCTTGCTGAGAAGGGGTATGGAGCTAGAGAATGTATGTTGTTTGTGCAGAGAGGCACCTGAATCAGCTAACTCATCTGCTTATACATTGCCCTGAATCATATATGATTTTGTGCCACTTTCTTCAGTTGTTACAGACAGTGGATCTTCCCTTCTAGTGCTGAGCTGACGTCTTGTTGGAAATGTTGGTTTCTGACCTAAAAGCTGCTACGGAAGTGACTAACCTTTGTCATTTGTTGGACCATTTGGAAGGAGAGGAGTTGCAGATTTTTTTATCAATAACAAAGATTTCATTAAAAAATGAAGATTATAAATACAGTATCCAAGAGAAGGGGTAAACTCTCTTAGCCCTCCCCAAGGACAGCCAAAGTACAATCAAAGAGTTACAAGCAAAGCCCACAATGATTGAGCCCTTCATACCCCCTGTTTAGCTAAGGCATCAGCAAAGGAGTTAGCACTCCTTTTAACCCACTGAAGCCTTACAACCATACCCCTTGACAACCACTTGAATTTCTTTTTTTCATTTGCATATTCCCAAGGTCCATTCTCTTCTTTTTCCAGCCAGCCAATAACTACCTTGGAGTCACCTTCAATTATTAGATTATGTAAATTTAATTCACAGAGGCTATTATCCCCAGAATCAGTGGAACTCCATCATTTTTGAATATACCATATTGTCATGTGGATATTATAGTCATACTTTTTGTCAACTCTGAGAGTTTCTTACCCTCTTTACAGTAATACAATTCTCCCTTGTCATTTATCAAAAAAAAAAATAGAAAGAAAGAAAACAAGGCAATTACTGGAATTATCTCTAGCATAAAAGAACATTTCTCCATTTTCCTGTACATCATAAATATAAAATGTAACAACAGCTGTCACATTGCTGAAAGCTGAATGCTAACAAAGCCAACTTCAAAGAATGAAAGCTGAAGAATAGGAGCTTAGATTTAGATTGCTCCACTTAGAAAATATATTTTCCTGAGAAAGGGTAGTCATTGGAAATACAAAACTGAATTTGGCTAAGCTTCTTACTTACTCTTAAATTCTTAAGCCTTTAAGTTGAGATGGATTAGATATTATATATTTTGAGCTTTAAATATAGACAAGTCAGTGAACAAAAAAGGCGCAAGAAAAAGTCCTCAAGTCATCAATGATGTCCAAAGGGCAGAGAGACACGACCAAAAAAAAAAAAAAAAACAGATCAAAACAACAAATGAGAAGAAACAAGGGATGAAAGACCAAGGGCAGATGAAAAATACAATGAACATACCAATCCTGATCATAGATCTAAAAGAATTCTAACAGTGCAAAAGACATCTCTAACTCACCAGCCTGTCTGTGAAGAATCCAATCAAGCTATGTACAGTAACATTTTCAAGTGGCTTTACCATAAGACGTGCAAGCAGTTCTCCAAGAAGAAGGATACCTGAAATTTCAGCATAAGGCATTGAATATAAGTCCGGTGGAAAACACAGGAAAAGGGCAAAAATAAAAGGAATTTAAAAAAAAATAAATAAAAAAGAAAGCCATGATATCTAATGACTAAAAGCAAGAAGAGTAACTCTAAAAAGGGAAAGATACACATGAGCGCAATGGCTTTTTATTAGAGCATAATTCTTAGGTTCTTCAAAAACTAGAAAATTATCAAGTAACCTTCCTACCTGACAACAATAGTCTCACACATTCCACCACCACAGCATTGAAGATTAATAATATCCAAATAATGAAAGCTAAATCATGTACAATGCTAGAACCATAGATATCAACTAAACCCAAGAAATCAAAGAAAGTTTACTCACCAAAGCCATGAAAACAACCAACATGCCAAAAGAACCTGAGTTCTTCAATGGACATCTATCAAGGATCAGCTTGGTTCTAGTCTCACTTAGGTGTGCCAATTCACATGAATAACTTAAAGAGAACAAAGTACAACTAACCCATTTTCCAACTTGGAAAAATAAAGCCTCCCAAGACCAAGCAAAAAGTAAAACTATTCATGGCCATAAAATTAAAGTTGCTTTACTAAAATCAACAGTAATCAAGGATTTGAGAACTGATCCCTGTTACGATCCCAGGTAGGATGTAACATTAATTCCGTCTACGTCAAGGGAGATGAAGACATCCAAAGATATAACTCTCACAATTAAGAAGGAATAATTCTCATAATAATCTGATTAAGAGAAGAATTACAACTTAAATAGACCACTTACTGACCCATTGCTACAACTATAACCTAAATACTTGGCCCACTAATATACGTGTTCCAACTCAATGCACCCCACTCTCTACATAACTACCCACCATGGACCCAATTAATTGACTCAACTTGGACACATTACATGGACTCTAACCGACTCAAATAAATATTTGTGCATAAAGGTTTTAGCTAAAAATTTTTATTCACTCCCTAATACCTAGAATAGGTGGGCCCACTAATGGATATGTGACATTCCCTGGCCCTTGAAATTGGCCTTGTCCTCAAGGTCAAAGTCTCCAAACATGCATTCATCACTTACTTCACCACCGTTGTAAACCAATGCTGGACGAACCTCCTTTGCTGCAACCACTGCTGTATCAGCATTGGTAGTTGCCACTGGTAGATACTTCTGGGCTCATTTTGTTGACATTGTCTCTAGCTTCCATGTACCCATGTAGTGAGTCCTTCATAACATCAGCCTTTGAAGATTTGACAGAAAAAACGCTCCATGTTTGAGAAACAAGTAAGAAATAGCAGATGCAGCAATCAGATATACAACAGTAGAACTTATGCAATGTCCATCTTTGTAAAAGAAAAACCCCTTGCCCCAAACTAGAGCCTGCACCTCTACAGAATGTTGGTAAATTTGCTTGTCTCCAGCAGACTATAAGAGGACCCACATAACCAGGTGACAAAAGAACATAGGCATAGCTGTCACAGCCATATAGTGGAACTTCCACTTTAGTCATGATACGAGCAAATGCCTCTTCAGCATCTCCACTGAAGATGAGAACCTATCATATACAAATACACTGGGGAATTTACACAAACACATGTAGGTTTTTCATGTCCATTTGATGTTCTTGCCATGCTGACTTTACTCCATATCCCTTCTCGACTGAGTAGCGGATTTGTTCTGCTCGAGCTCTACTGACATTAAGAAGCAAATAGTCATATGGACCAGTATATGCAAAACCTCCACATGCTTGGATCTCAAAGACGTTGTTCAAGAGCTTGGAGACGAAATGGCAATCCAGGCGTTTCCCACTTGCAAGGATCTGAACATTTGGATTCTTTGAAAGTCTTTCAGATACCCTAGTCCACTCAGTCAGTTGGAAGGAAAACCAGAGAGGTTGTAGGACTAATACATTGTCAATGCCAGTCCTTGTAAAAATTCTCCATGCCAGAGCATCTCTTTGCTCCAGAAGAGATTTCATTAAATGCTTCAACTCCACTACTTGTTGCTTGCAAATCTGTACAGCTTTGGCAGTGCCAACGATTCCCTCCCCTGCCATCGGGTGATTAACTTATGAGGAGCTCCCATTGGGGTACAAGGGGGAGGAAGTTTGATACCTGCAACTGAAACCTATATTGATGTTGTTGACAGACTTTGACAATGATATCATTTCAGCGATTCCATCTGTAGCTCCAGCCTTCACGCCCCACAAGCCCAACTGTCTAGAAGGCATTTCTTTTGAGGAATTGGGTCTCTGAGAAGAGTGGAACTTGAGATTCTGACAGCAACAAACAGTAGTGTAACTCTCTTGGTAGAAAGCCTGAACCAACAAGTTGTTGAATCATCTGTCGTTCTAGTCCCACTACGGATTGTTGGGGCATAGATGCTCTGCAACGTTTTAACAAAGATGACTGAATCCCATTTTTATCAACCACCAACACTTCTTTTTGACAAAATGAAGTAGTTTCATTAGAAAGTGGATAAAATCAGGTGCAAGTATCTCATGGAGAGGCGCAAGCTGTGACCTCCCCACACAATATAAACCAAAAACAGATTACATCTGTGACCGATACAAGTGTTCCCTAATCATTCCTTGCTTGGCCAAACTACAAGCCATGGCATTTGCCGATCTCCCCACCCACTGTGTTTTGACATACAGACTTCTTGTCAGCCATTTGAATTTCTTTATTTCATTCTTAAAGCACTAAATCACAGATTCGGGTTTTTGCAGCCATCCCACAACCACCTTGGAGTCTCCTTCCATGATTAGTTGTCCCGCTCCCAGCTGTACTACAAACGGCACCCCTTGAAGGGCAACTAGTAATTCTGCCCTTGTGGGAGTCTCCCACACCTAAAGGGAAGCTGTCAACCACCAACACTTCCCTAAGTAGCTCAAACTCTTCAAAAGCTCATTCCTGCAAGGATGAAACGGTATGAGTAGCCACTAACTGTGTTCTGTATGTCTCTGATGAAGAAAAAGGGTGGTACTTCTCAAAAGGAAATTGTACCACCTTGTTTTTCTCTAACGAATCAATTCCAGCCTTCAAGCATCCAATGTCCTCGACATCCAATGAGAACCCATCTTTGAGTTGCAAAACCAGCACATCCTTATCCCATTCAAAACCCCATTTCTTACTTTTTGGGTCAGGTGAGAGAGGAAACGGGGAAGAAGCATTGGCATATTCAGGAACAGCAGCAACGACCTCCTGTTTGTTGGGCTCTTCATCTTCGGAATCTATGGTGTCAGTTTATTCTACCTCTTCATCATCGATTTCAAAGTTGGCTTTCTCCTCCAGCAGTTCTTGCTTTTGTTTTTCTACCGTCTTGGCTGGTTGGGCACTTGGGCTTTAATGTCTTTGTCATCAACATCACCATCCAACTGGTGGATGGAAGCATGAACAACAGAGTGGTTGAACTCACAAGGTGAGTATGAGGCTTCCAGATGATTGAGACAAGAAGAGAGAGCCTCAAACATCTGCAACATTCTCTCCCTAAACTTCTCTTTGTTTGTCACCAACAATTGAACCTTTCCTTGTAGCTGGAAAAGCCAGTGTTAAAATCTGAAATTCATGGCTGTCTCTGATACCATGTGTTACAATCCCAGGTAGGACATAGCGTAAATTCTGTCTACTTCAAGGGAGACAAAGACCTCCAAAGAGAATAACTCTCAATTAAGAAGGGATCGTTCTCATAATAATCTGATTTAGAGAAAAATTACAACTTAAATAGACCACTTACTGATTCATTGTTATAACTTTATCCTAAATACTTGGCCCACTAATATACGTGTTCCAACTCAATGCACCCACTCTCTACACTATCCACTATGGACCCAATTAATTGACTCAACTTGGACGCATCACATGGACTCTAACTGACTCAAATAAATATTTGTGTGGATCTTAGCTAACAATTTTTATTCTCTCCCTGACACCTAGGTAGGTGGGCCCACTAATGGGCATGTGACAATCCCCCAAACATTTTATGACTCCTTTCATCTTAGTTTCAAGTAACTCAGCCTTCTTTTAAAGAACATGCACCCCATGAAAAGGCAATTACCCAATAAAAAGCAATGAGAGAAGGTGTAAGAGATCATGATGGTGGTCAATGGTTCTGAAAGTCTGAGGATCAGCCTGCCTTCAGGTGAGTTGGTAAGTTGGCAAGTTGTTATGCCTGCTAGCCACCAGTGGTAGACAGTTAAGCAAGTGGTAAACTGCTTTTTCTACTTGACCCCTGACTACAATTTTTCAACCAGGTCACTTTCGGTTTGGATATTAGACCGGGTTGAAACAGGTTGTATATCTACCCTCTTACAAAAGGATCCATGAAGAACTCTCTGTACCTTGTTCTTTTTTCTAGGAAAAGGTAACTGCAATCATTATATATAAGGCTTCACAGTAATCCATCTGAGTTGGGTGTTCTATTGGTATTGGTCACAATCTCCTTCACTTTGTATACATAGTGAGCCAACTTCCATGGAACATTCTTAACCTTTTGTATCCAACAAATTGCATTAGCCCTATCCGAATCCCCTTCAAGGACAAGAAAGGAAACCTGCAATAGGTTAACAATAAGAATACACCCATACTTACAGTGCAAGCCTCGATCTTTATAGAATCAGCATCACCAATAGAACCATTAAAGGTCCAAACAAATGCTCCAACCTCTCCTGAGCAAAACCCCTCCATGACTAGATGAACTCGATCTGCATCTTAGCTTCCATCAAACAAATGTAGGTTAACTTCCACATTTGGAATGAGAGAGGGAGCTGTTCTACAGGATGGTTTCTCTAGGTAAAAAGTGTAGACTTCCAGGCAAGTCCCTCCAGAAATTGTTGAATAAAATCACTCTAAGCTAATCAGTGACCAACACCCAACAACTGAGGAGGAGAAAATGGCTCCATAGAGCCCCAAGAGATGCTTCTTTGTCTTCAAAAATGCATTTATTTCCCTCTTCACACACATCCCACATCACTGCATGAATATTGCCCTTCTGATAAATCTTCCCACTAAATCCTTAATTCCACCCTCTCTAGAAGTGAAGCATATAATCAATGTTACACCCGGTAGCCAACACCACCCATTGTTAAAGACTAACAAGTCCTAAAAAGAAATGGTACAGCTGTCTAGAGTCAACGCGATGCAAGGGGTACCAGTGCCATGTTCCCTTCGGAGGTAATATAAGAGCATGTGATCACGAATTAGGTGCTAAACCAACAATAATGTTCAATACGTATTATGGAAAAGGAACAAAAAAGAAAAAGCAAGCTATTAAGACGTGACAAAATCAACACTGAGCAAGGAAAAGGTACCTCTTGATCGAATGACGTTATCTGTAGTAGTCAAATACATTTCCATTTCTCTAACCTAAATAAAAAATTAAAAAAAAAAACAAGGAAAAAATAAAGTTACTTGACGAGCAATTACCAATACATGGATGCATAACCTAATTACCTAATTATAGGGATACAGAGACCCAAAGCAACTCACCAGTAATTCTATGGTTAGGACATCATTCCTCAAAAGTGAAGCAAGTGCTTCTAGACTTTCATTCTGCAAAGCAAAACAAGACTTAACTCAAGCAATCCGAGATAAACGAACACAAAATTAATATATTAAAAGAAGAAGATTTCTCCCAGATCATTAAATCGAACAATTCTAAAGGAAGAATAAAATAAGAAGATTCCATGACTTCCACGTCGACGAGATTGAAAAAAAAAAAAAAAACAAATTAAATATAACAAAACACAAAAAATGGAAGCTAGTATGTCAGAACTAGAAGAAAAGTGGAGCTTAACCTGCTGACTAGAGGAGCGGGAGGAATCGACGAAGGCTTCAATGTGCGGGACCCAAGAGCTTGATTTCGCCATTAGTAGTGCAGGAGGATTCGAACTTCGAAGGTTTTCGGAAGGTTTATGCCAGAGCAACTGAGCAAGGGTTTTAGAACCAGCAGGAGATGCCGCGAAAAAAGGGTATTTAAAAGGACTTTTTCTATACACTGTTTCCTGTTATATGTTAATAAAGTATGTCGCGCAATCATACACCTTTGTTTTCTTTGATCATTATGGACGTGCTAACCTGCAAACTGCAATGTCCAACCCGAGTTGCCTGATGGACAGTACGATGGCCCACTGTAGTCTAGACTAGAATCTAGATAACGGTTTTTTCAAGTACCCAAAGAAAAAAAGATAACGGTTTTCCAACTACCTCCCACGTCCCACCCACCCCAAGGCCTAAACCCAAAGACGTTGGATCATAGCAATAAGATAATACAAAAAAATGATAATTTCAGGCTAATCTTTTATTCCCTCGTGGGATAATAACAAATAAAATGATACAAAAAATGATAACCAATCTAAGGGAGTTTTCTCCAGTGTTGAATACATTTTCTTGTTCCGAGTTTCAAAAACAAATAAAAAACATATTATTTCAAAACAAAATTACAAATTGATTCTCAACACCAAAACATAAAAAAAGGTATGTTCTTTACAATATATATGCTTTGTTTTCAAAACGTGTTCTTGAAATTTTGGTTTGAAAAGCATGCTTTCATCCAATAATACCTTTTGTTCCCTTTTTTTTCTGTTTTAAAAATCATCATTAGTATGTTTTCAAAAATATATTCAAACCAAAATCAACTTATTTTTGCTTCCACACAAACTACTCCCACATCCCTACTAATGGGACATTACAGCTTTACATTGGAAATATTTCCCATTGTCATATTCTTAAGTACCCTAGGTTTTAGAAAATTCTCACCCCTACTGTTTAGAAAAGTACTCTCAAGTTTTATGAGAATTGACTAAATCCTCCTATTGTTAAATTTTCAAAATGAAACATTTAAATAAAAGATTTTTTTTTGTCTCTATAATCTTTCAGCAATAGAAGGGCTACCAGAGTGGACACTCCATTGTCAATGGCATCACCTTCCTCCTACCAAGATTCTACCATGGCTGGAACAAAAACATCAATTTTGGTAGCGGTGGCCCAAAGATGCACTTGTTTACGCATAGCAGTTGAAGTTATTTTCATTTTTTGGTGGCGAGTGGCCAGTGGAGAAGGTTCTAAGTGCAAACTTTCTCATAATTAGCAACCGAGTAGTGGCTTGGTTGGCATGTTTGCTGGGTAGTTCCAACCAACGTTTCTAAAATTACACTAGAAAAAACAGGAACCAGTCAACTAAGTGATTTCATTTCAACTTAGAACCGCTTTTTTGGACAAAAACCGTTGATTTGGTCAACGAACCGCTGACTTGGGCCATCAACCCGTCATCCCAAATAATGGTTTTTGGCCTTTTTTTACTTTTTTTTTTTTTGTCAAAATGAGCTTTCCATTCAGTTCAAATGGTCAGGCCATTCGACCCGAGAACCGGACCCGTTCTCTGTCCGATTTGGTTTTAAAAACATTGGTCCCAACAGAAACGCAGATTCAAATCCCGCTATTACCACCCACGTTGAAAAATTATCATGTTAAGTACTAAAAAAACTCCTTATAATTAATACTGATCGATTGGATATAAGTTTATTTAGATGCCATGCCCTTTTTGTTTACCAAAAAAATACCATGCCTTTTTTTTTATCATGATCAGACCCAAAATAGGCAAATAAAATAGATGGTATATACAGTCATATTAGAAACATGGCAAGTTCAATGATGCCTTTCCGGTAGAACTTTGACCAATCAGAACTCCTGTTCTTGTAAATTTTGATGACTTCAGCTTGGTTACCACTTTTTTAATACCAGTTGATTGGTTATCAGTTTGTAAGTATCACGTATCATAGTCAAATTGTAGAAACATCAAACATGCATGAACAACATCATGGCATTAAAAAGGCTAATACTCGATGCTAGTCCCATCTATCTGGTGTCTTGAGAGAGGTGAACTCAATGAAGACATAAAAGGTATGATGTTGATGCAGAAAAGGTATGATAATGTAAGTTGTAAGAGATTTGAGAAATCAAACCTCCCTTTCTGATATCATAATCAGACCTTTTTTGCATTAAATAACCACTTCATACTCAAATCCATATTTTTCATGATCTTCAGCCCAAGATTTTACCACCACACCAAGCAATGGCCCTTTTGAACAATATCTGCATGTTTCTTTGACTTCTGGGGACGGGCTACCCCGTCTTGTGTAGCACCTTCTGTTCTACACAAAAAAAAAAAACAGTGAGGGTGCCTAGTTACTAGTTAGTTATATGGCATGACGATTTTATCATTGCGAGCTTCAACTCGAGGACTAAAACAAAAAAATTATCTGTCAACCAAGTATAAACAAAAGTATAAGTTTTAGCTTCTGTGGCAGTAAAAATACAAAATAGAGCCATCCCAATTTACAGATCAAGATTTTGCATCATGCACAACACCTATGATGGTGCCTCCTCACATGAAACCTCTTCAAGTCTATCAAGAAACCCTTTTCTGCCTGTCTCTCGGAAAATTGATATATTAAAATGCATAGAATTTGTGGTTGCAGCTTCAAATTTAGTCCACAATTCCCTCTTCAAAGTGTTTTCGCCAGGGTGCTTACTAGTTTAGTTGACACTGTCTGACTCCTTCCACATGGGTGTGCTTTCTAAAAGTCCTAAGCTTGGACCAAAATGTTCTGGAAGTATGAAAACAGGGAGTGGTGAATTCAAGGATGCCCTTAGTTGGAATTTTGAAGGAACACTAAAATATGAAAACAAACAAGAAAATTTAATTGATAATACCTTGATCACATGATGTTCTGGCTATGTTACAGTCTCCCCGCACACCCTTTCCTCTTTTAGCTTTCAGACTCGCTTGCTCATCGAGCATGATACCTGAAGACCCTCTGTAAGCAGCTGAATGCATTGGTAACATCTTGTCAGGTGGCTCCATTAACACACAAGTTTGGGGAGGTGATATAAACCGACCTGGGGATGTTTGTACTTCTTTCCTTCCAGTTCCCCATTTATGAGGTGGCTGTGGTCCAAAGAGCTCTGGATACTTTAACACCAAATTCTCTGAAACTTGGTTGCTAGAAAGTTCAGAGATCTAGTCACCACAATTTTCAATTCCAACCACAAAAGAGGTTGATTTAGGAAACTCATCATTGACTCGGTGAGAGGATTCAGAGATTGGTTCAAGCAACAAACAAGATTTTGGAGGTGACATTTTTAAGCACGGGGTCATTAGAAACATAGAGTGGTCTTTCTTCAAAAATCTTGATGCAGTAATTAGCCCACATCCAAGTGTACCTTCCATCTGGGTAACAGGAGAACGAGGATATTTATTTGGTGTTGGCTTCAACTCTAATTTTTCCAGCAAATCATCATTCTTGTTTTTAGAAATAGTCAGTGATGGAGGTGGGCCAATTGTAGTATTTGGAGGATCCATATCATTAATTCTTTCAAATGCTGGTCTAGATGTGCCTTGACTCCTGGAAGATAAAGTTTTTGATATTGGAAGTGGTGTGAGCAGAAATAATTGCTTTCCTCTTTCAACAGTGCAGTCAGCACGCCAAGAAACAAGAGGTGAAGGAGAGACGAGGGAGCCAGTTTCTGGTTGTTTGGGACTCTCAACAAAATTGGTTATTTCTTCATTTGCAGCTATTGCTTTACTGGATAAGGGTTCTGCTGTCTTATTCTTGAACTGTACCAATGGAATCTTTGGAATCTTGCAAGAAAAATTAAGATTTCAATTCAATAAAGGGCCCTTCACATGAGGGAACCAGACCTGTTCGTGGACTGGGCTCAGGCTTATCTCTTGCCAAAATTTGAATGGGCCAAGTCCTGGGCTGATGCGCAGCCCATGGGCAGGCCTAGAGGGAGCACCTCGTCCAGCCCTGCCCTTGCCATATCTGGTTAACATATCTATCACGTTTCCCATCCAACAACAATCCACTGGTGAAAAATGCCCCTTCATATGACAGACCTCTTATTGAATCAAAACCCCAAGTATATGAAACTATGAAATGCTATCAAAACCAGTTAGCAGAACAACATTTAAAGAAGAATGCATGTCAGATAAGACACTGGTAAAGGATTCAATCTCTTTTCTCTCCTTATTTGTCAGTTTAACTCTGAATGCCTGCATAACCAATTCATCAATCTGCAAACGAAAGAGATTAAGAGAATAAACATGAATCAATTTAATGGTTTGCATGGTAAAGAAACAAAAAAGCGCTCAAGCCATATTCTCTTTTTACATGCACGAGTCACTATATGTTAAAATCTCAATGCACGATCATCATGAATAGGATGTTGGACACAAATAGCTGCAAATATATACTTTGAAACTAACTTCACAGACTCACAGTTTACCAAAACAAACTGGATATAGATATTTTACACACATAGAAATGCAATGACAGCACTAGCCATTCAAAATTGAAACTGTAGCTCAAAAATGGGTCACATCAAGATACACATTCCATTGTTGTGCCCATCATATCCAGCAAAAGCACTTTCAACCGAGAAACTGCAGAATAGCCAGCTTAAGGGGTGTGACTTCAATACATGGTACATGTGCCAAGTTAAGATGTTCACAAAAGTCTGGAACATCAACCTCTAGAAATCATGGCATAAGGAAGTGGCTGAAACTAAATACTCTGATTATACAAATAGTCAAATCAAATAAAGTGAATATAATAATTACAAAAGTTAAAAGAACTTAAAAATCAAAGTGCCAAATTTTCTATTGACTTCAGCTTGAACATCATTGGATTATTACAAGTGTCATGCTATATGCCAAGTAAAAGCATGCCATCCAAGTGTAGACACAAGTAGAAATATTAGTGTTAATGTTTTTTGCCATGTTCATTATTTTGAAGAATTGACTCTGACCTTATATGGGCTAAGGCTACCACCTTAAAAGCAAAATCTATAAAAAAAAAAAACTCTGCTTGGCAGATTAACATGATTTACCAAGGCAACAGAATGAACCGAATACAGCTGCCAATAGTCAGAAAACAGTAATAATCTCAAGTGATATACAGGACAAAAAGAGGAAAAGAGTCAAAACTGCTTACAAATATGTGAAAAATGCAAACCTAATATAGTTTGTAATTTTTATAGAACTTCACATGCTCTAAGCTCAGTCTTGAAGAGAATATTAGATAAAAAGCAGGAAATAAGCTTAATGGTAAAGATAATGATGTAGAAGGAAAAAAGAGAGGCCCTCCCAATCATTTGATTAAGATAAACTTAATGCACCAAAATTGTTGGGTTCCAACTTCCTCTTCCTTGGCAAGTGGGATCCTCTATTAGCTTCAGCTGAGAAAGCTCAAAATTAGCTTTGTATTTTCATATTGTAGTTTGAACTATCAACCTTAATGTGGGCTGGCAGTATTCACTTGTGAGAAAGAGTTTGAAGTGTGTTAGACACTTGTAAAAAGAAAAGTGGATAAGAAGGATTGTGGAAGAAGAAAGGGTGCAACAAACTTTTTATGGGTGCAAAGTTTTTTCTTCATTTTTTTTCTCTATTTAGGGTTTTAAAAGCTAAGTGTGCAAGAAAATCATTTGGAATTCCTAGGGTTTTAAAAACTAAGTGTGCAAGAAAAGCACCAAAACAAAGCCTTACAGCACTTGAGGTGCAAGGTGCATTATGCAAGGTGAGGCATGGCCCACATGAAGCAAGGCAGAATTTTTTTGAAAAAACAAATAAAAAAAGTAAAAAAAAAACATTCATACATAAGAAAAAAATGAAAACTTGGAGTTTTAAAAGTAATTAATTATTTTAAAAAGATTATTAGCTCAAATCAAAATGCATAAGCTTCTTAGCCATAGATCTCAATTATCCTGGCCATATTTGACCAATCAGACATCACCATTATGTTCAAAGACCCAAAAAACCCTAGCACATCAAATTTCACATCTTAATTCGTTTGTTTGACTGTTAAACTAGAAAGATATCAATTTGATGCACCAGATTAAATTGCTACACCATCTGTCCTAACCTGAAGCCTTAAAAGGGTGATGGCTGATGTCAAACTCATTCTTGACTTATTAGAACACCTGGACCAATGAAATAGAGCCTAATAGGCTTAAAAAGCTTAAAATACCAAATAGACCCCCACTTAAAGTTAAGAAAATACAAAACTACATTTAAAAGTCCATTAAATTTACATTTTTTTGCCACTAGCAGCCCCAAATACAAGACTGCCATGACAGGCGTGCCCTAAGCTCTCATTGGATGCACAAAACTCGTGAAAACCACCCCCAAATCGAAGAAAATGTTTCACCAAACAAGAAAGCTTGACTGAACATCTATTTCTTTGAAGAATCTTTATCTATTTGTATGAAAAATCTCTGTTGAATCCAGGCATTGTAGTTGAGCAAATACAGACCTGACTCCCCTTCCTTTCTCTATAAATACAAATCTAATTCACGCTCAAAGGGAGGCAACTTGAGGAAGGGGTGACCGGAGAGAAGAGAGGGAAGAGAGGACATCGGGGGAATCCCCTAGAGAAAGAGAGAGAGAGAGAGAGAGAGAGAGAGAAGAGAACTTCCTCCCAGCCCATATACTACCTCTTGTTCACCCAAAATTCGGAGGTATTCTGAACCTTAGATTTCAAATTTGTCTTCTCCATTTTTCAAGTGAAAGTTGTTGCAAAGTAGAAGCACTCCCTAGCTCAAGAACCCATTTGAACTTCATTTTATCTCTTCCTAGCTGTTGGAAAACTTTCGACAAGGCACATACGAAAAGTAAATCTTTTTTTTTTTTAGTTATTCTAGTTTGCTTAGGGTTATGAAATATTGGAGAACCATCGTTTGCAATTTCTTCTTGACTAAGAACAGAGGTAGAGAGGCGAGGATCTTAGAGAAATCAATACCTAAGACCCGATAACATGACCTCAAAATCGGTCTTAGGAGAAGTTGAAAGCATGTTCCTCCAGATTTAAGAAATTCCTGCAACCATTTCTGTTTTCTCCAAAAGAAACTGAGTCTGAACAACTCCCGTTTTGGGCTGCTACACTAGCTTGGAGAGAGAGGTGCCTAATACATTCCCTCTCCTAATCCTTAGGACCCGAAATCTCTCGGTTCTATGCTTTTTCTATGGAGAACGGAGTCATTATCAAAGACTTAAATCAAATTTTCAAATCTGAAAATGAGGGCCCATTTCCTCTAAAAAATGGGTGGCGACTCCATCTCTTTGAACCGGCCATGAGCTTCCCGGAGCTCATAGGGTAGCTACAAGTTGAGCCTTTCATGAGCTATTTGAGCTCGGCTTGTGAAAAGCTCAGCTCAGCTTGGTTTAAACCAAGCTTCAAGCCCGATATATAGGTTCATTTGGTAGTCGAGTCGAGCTTGAGCCCAATGAAGCTTAACTCATGAGGCTTGCGAGCCTAGTATTAAGTAAATAATTTTTATTATTATTATTATTATATATATATATATATATATATATATACATACATACATAATAAATAAACATAAATATATATAATAAATAATTTTATTATATAAATAATAATATTTGTATTAATATAAATTTTTATGTATAACAGTAAATATTTTTTATAATTCTTAATTTTTTGTCTAAAAAATAAAATAAAAAAAATTATACATATAACTAGTTAAGCTCGAGCCGAGCCGAGCTCGAACTTGTGAGTTATGAACCGAGCCGAGCTCAAGCTCAAGTATCTAGCTCGAATCGAGTTCGAGCTCGAATAGCCAAGTATTTGGCTCGGCTCGGCTTGGCTCAAATCCACCCCTTTATTGCAATTACCTAACTTTAGGTGAGGTTTTCAGCAATGGCCAAAAACTTCATGGGAGGTTTTAGAATTTTACCCCTTAAAAAACATGGGTTTCATATTGTTAAAAAGTATTTGATAAAATGGGTTTCAAATTACTTTTCAAAATATTTATTTTGATACTATTAAAATTAATGTGTCTTTAATCCACTGAATTTAATGATGAAAAAAGTATATCTTAAATATAGGGTTTAATGAAAGAATATATTCAATTAGTTTTACATTTTACATTCAACTTACATCACTAATAAAAATATTCCTTATTTATCATACTTATTATTTTTTAATATGTCAAATATATGATGATAAAATGTTCCCAATTATTTTTTATTTTATATTTTTGCATTTTATCTATTTCTAAATTTTATTATTTAATTGTGGCAACATGGATTAACCCATTTGACCCAAAATGGTTTAATTTCTTACCACCACCTAGATGAAAACACTATTTTTCCTAGGTATATTTTAAAAGTATAAATTTTTATGTTATTGGAATTATTAATTTATTATGTATGGATTTGATTAATATAACTTAATGATGAGAAGAAACAAAAGTGTTTTAAATATATGATTTAATGAAGGTGAATGCAATTTAATTCCTTAAATGTTGGATTTAATGACAGGTAATTAAATGCATTGAATATCTTAAATTTACATCTTTTCAACTCATTTAATATCAATAATTGATTACCCTATTTGCCCTCATTTTTTATCAATAAATTTAAATATGGAGGGATAACTTTTGTCCTTAAAAATTTCAGAAATATTCTTGTGGCTATTCGTGCTTTTTAAATCAGTATAGATTTATGTAGGGATTAGGGAAAATTTATTTTCCTGGTGATCACTTACTCAGATAAGTGATACCTATCTCCTAGGTTGGTAAATAACTTTCCCACATGGGGGAAAGTTGCTAATACTTGAATGTGACAAAAATTCCCCTTTTAATAATGAATTTTTATAGCTAAAATGATCATTGTCCTCTTTACTTGGGAAATAAAAGAACATGGGTAAATGCATTTACCTGGGTAAGTCTTTCCTGGGAAACACTTATTCGGGTAAGTGCATTTACCCAGATAAATAACTTACGGAAAAGCGAACGAGGCCTTAATAATGAGTATACAATAGTAGTCGATGTAAGTATTTTTTCCCCTTTATTAAATTTTAAGACTAATAGGTTAAAAGTATTCATGCGTATCATCATGGTTTTCAAAAACGGACCGGACCAGACCCCAAACCCGCTTTTTCTCCCAAAATCGTTGATTTTGGTCAACGAACTGTTGAACCAACTGGTTAACCGTTCGAACTGTTTGAACAGTTTTGACCGTTTTTCAAATTTTTTAATTTTTTTAAAATTTTTTTATTTATTTTTTTGTCAGAATGGGCTGGCTGTTCAAGTCAAACAGTTGGACCATTCGAACCGGTAACCAGACCCCTGACCGGTTCGGTTTTAAAAACCATGCGTATCATACTATATGTGTCTTTGAATCCACCGATGTGCTAAATAAGGAACAAGCAAGTCCTATCAACCTTGGCTTTTGGGTAAATGAGCTTCAACCAATGGTTGTGATAGATTTGGGAACCGGAAAATTGAACTCACGGTCGGATCATCAAGAGATGAAAATGAATCATCCAAAGCTTCAATCAATGATTGTGATGGGCTTGGGAACCTGAAGATTGAACTCACCCTCGGATCATTGAGGGATGAAAATGGACCATCCAAAAACATAAAATTAATTTCCTATTTTTTCTTTCTAATTAAAATTATACAGCCTTAAGCCCAACCCAACTATTTTTTTTATGGATGGGCCAAACAATTAATTTCATTCTTAACTGAGAGACGGTTGTTTTTTTATGCAATGAATCAACTTGACTAGATTATAGAAACATGAATGCTAAACCATTCTTCTGGAAAAGAAACATCATTCCGAGGAAGGCTTCAAAGACATAAGATATTCAAGCATTAATATAATGGCATATAGAAGCACACGCTAGAGTGGGACGTTCTAGCTGAGGCAAAACAGAACCAGAATTTACATTTTTCTGATCTGTAATTCTGTACTAGTACAAATGAAATTGCATTTCAAACAAACCGAGCTTAAGGTGTAATACAGATCTACTACCATGGGTTGCATTTGAGCCACATGTAAAATTACATCACTCATGCTCATAGGGTGCACGTATGCTTGGTCTGACATTCTTTTAGAGTAACCTGTTCCGATGCCACTCCTCAATTTGCATTATATTCCACAAGGATCTTGGGAAAAAAAAGGACAAAAAAATGATCCCAATGCTACTGGATATCATCTACTCAAAATAGATTGAATTAACTTAAGGATATCAGCACATCCTTAAGTTACATCAAAATTTTTGAACAAAAACCATATATATAAAAGAATACAAGATTTCAATATCAGAAAAGAAAATTGCAGAAAGGTTGGATGACGAACATACATATTTGATCACTCAAGTGGTGGATCTCCTGTGCTACACTATACACACAACAAAGGAAAGAGGAAAAAGTTGACGTAGGAAAAATGTCGTCATAGTACTGGGTTGGAAAAGAAACTGATCCATAACCTATCTTCCTTGAACCAGCCCACTAAAAACTTGGCTGTTTCCAGCAAGTGTTGCTTCCCACTCCACCGAGGATAGGAGGATCTGTGATAGGGAAATCACCACTTGTTTCATATCTGGTCGTAAAATGGGATCCTCATCCACACATTGCTTGGCCAGCATGGCCATCTGCTCAAACAGATACAAAACAAAGTAAAATAAGAGGTACATAAGTTCATTATAATTCCTTTGCTTTTACAGATATAGAAGTGCTTCCTTATTCTGAAATTATCACAGTATCACTAAGCTTATTTTATTTGCATATGGGTTAATCCTGGTTTTGTGTCTTTTGGACCGTGAGGCATCATGTATGGTATCTTTGACAGTATGATTAAGAAAAGAGAAGCTGGATTCCATATTTTAGTCTACAAAAATGGGTTATACTCAAATTCTTGTAATTTCTTATTTTCCCACTTCCCACTACTTAGTGGACAAGGCTGTTGTCAATTCTTCATCTTTTATGTGTCAAGATTATAACTTTTATTGTACATGTAACAAAGCGATGTATTGTCAGTTGACATGAAGAGAAAAAAAAAAGAATTAGGTCAGATGGGAATTCGTTCTATTCATTTTACCTTGTATACACAATCATGTGGATACAAATCCATCAAATTAGGATCAATGCAATCCTTCAAGCTTGACATGCTCATTGAGTTGGGAGAGTTTCTAAGAGCTGCTAACATCTGCAAAAGACACCAGAGTTCAGAAGAGGCAATACAAAGTACATGCACCGTGTAACAGAACATTCTTATTATCAATGGATTGCAGTGTGAAGAAAATGAGGTCTAAGTAACTGCAATTTAGAGACCTTAGAAATACATAACAAGCCTAAGCATTTATTGCAAATGGAAGTCATTTATATAGAAATTCAGAATCTTTCATATAACAGTACAGCACAATTTGGAAAATTTTAGTTAATTTTCAATATGGTTAAAATCAACTTTATCATGAGTGCCATGCAGTTAATCTGATTGGTCAACATTTTAGCTTAAGAAATCTGTCAATCTGCATGCCCAGGAAAGTTTGCATCATGATCATTTTTGCTAAGCCTTTCTATCACCAACTCCAACATTTGGATTTCATTAACTGATTAAATAAAATGCCCTTCATTCCAAATTTTTTAGGATGAAAACAAATAAACAAAAGCTAAGAGATGACCCCATTTCAATATATTTGCTTCAACAACATATTGTAATATGAATTACAAATCCCTTATGGACTATTAGATCCTTGCCCTTGCAAGGGAACCCGTCGTGCTTTGGCATATCATGGAACCAAATTGAACAAACAATTCATATGAGTTCACCACCCTAGGTTCCCTTATCAAGTCTCAAATAGTCCAGGATCCGTCATCTTTTGAGGACAGCCAGCCTATCATAACCTGGCGGTATCCTAATAGTTAGTTATGTCCAACCTGATAAGTGATCCAATTTATGCCATTGCAAGAAAGCTAGTATTTAAGCTATCAGTGAGTTAGCTTCACCCAATGGAGTTATATAACTTAGTAAGATGGTTCTGGTCTTGTTTCTGGTATCACCTCCAATTTCTGAACAGTCCAGGATTCATAGTTGCATCAATCAAAATTTAGAATTAATCTTCCCATTTTTGGTCTTGTCAAATTTACGAAATCTTTCTTCCTTGTTGGTGCATATCCAAACTGTTGCCAAATCTCTTAATGGAATCCACAGAAACAACCTTGAATTCATCTTTGGTCATGACCCAATGTGCTACCCTTGCCATCATGAGATTAATAAGGGTATTGACATCCTGTTCTTGTGGCTTAAGGTCCTTTCTTTCCATTTATTCTAGATACTCCAGAGAATAGCTACTCTAGTGTGATGCCACAATAACTTTCTCCTCTTTGTGGGTAATTGATAAGGCCTTCTCTTAAACTCTCGTTGTTAAGAATTTCAGTTGCAGTAACTAGCTTGTTGCAAGGAAGAGAATAAACAAAGCATAATGTTCTTTCAATCATCATGCCCTATGAAAACAGACTTTTCTACATACATTTAAAAAAGGATGAAGAAAACAATGCGTAACAAGGGTGTTAATTCCTTTGAGTGGTGAGTGGTTGTGGAGATAGATACAGTAGGAAGAAAACTACTTGAATTTTGACCATAGGCATAAAAGATATGAAAAGTGAACTCCAATTTGGGATGAAGATACCTTGAAATAATCTGAAGCACTAGTAAACAGTTCACAGATAACCATATCCATATACATTGAATCAAAGCCAAAAGTGATTTGTAGAATCTGTGATCAGACTGATGATTGATTTTGAAAATTCAAACTCGGGCAACAATAAGCTGTTGAACATAAAGTTATATCCACAGTAAATTTACAAGCCATTTCATTACAAGTGGCAACAAGACTTACAATAGATGCCAATGCGCGTCTTTCAGCATTTTTCATCACCACGCCTTCAGTTTTTGTAATTGCCTCCCTTCCTGATATTAGCTCAAAAAGAACAACACCAAATGCATAAACATCACTTTTGGTTGTTGCTAGGCCATCACTCAAATATCTGTTGAACCACCACAAGATCAGTGAATATAAACTTGGTTCTAGAAGAACTTATTGTAAATCTAAGTTACCCGCCAACAGCTGTTTTGCTTACTCTGGAGCCAGATAACCAAAAGTTCCTACAACTCTTGTTGCAGAAGCCTCTCCTTCACCAGTTTTCCCAACAAGCTTTGCTAGTCCAAAATCCGAAATCTACACATAAAAGATGGAGTCAATAAAAAAAGAACAATAGGAGTTGGAGTCAATTGAGCATAAAGTGGTCAAAACCTTTGCCCTGAAGGCGCTATCAAGTAGTATATTGCTCGTCTTGATATCACGGTGGACATAATGTGTTTTGGTGTGCTCATGGATGTATTCTAAACCTCTAGCAGCATCTAGTGCTATCTGAACCCTCATGATCCAAGATATGGATGTATGACCTGAAGATCCATCAGTTGTCTGAAAATGTAAGAACCAAATTTGTATATACAGTGTTCTCTCAACAAGCATAGCTAGACTCAATTTCTCACCTTGCAATTTGCTATTTTTTTAATCTGCTCGAGGTTACATAAATAATTAAATAGAATGTAATGTTGTATTCCACATATTGCAAAAAGGCATATTCTGAAGTGTAAAATTTTCTCAAGCCAGAAACTTGTATAACTGACACCTATAAACAGAAAGACTAGTATTTTTTTTTGATAGATAATGATAATTTTATTAATTAGAATAAAAACACAGTATACATCATACAACTCCCCACAAGTAGGCGTGAGGTGCAGCCTCTAAACTACATCATAAAGCTTACAATTGAGCCCAAAAGAGCTGATTCCTATGTACTACTTGTTTGGCTAGGAAATCTGCCAGCCCATTTGCCGATCTTCTTTCCCATTGAACTGACTGAGATATTTGATGTTAGCCACTTATCTTCTCAAAGCCCCTCTATAAGGCCAGGCTGCCATCTCCAGTTCTTTTAGCCATCTAATAACCAATTTGGAGTCACCTTCAATCATTAAATGCTCCACTGCCAACTTTTTTGCAATTTCTGCTCCTTGTATTACAGCTTGGAGTTCTGCATTAACTGAATCTCCCATCCCTATAGGACCAGAAAATAGAGCTACAATCTGGCTCTCAGCATTTCTAAAGACTCCCCCTATTCCAGATGGCCCCGGGTTGCCCAAACTACTGCCATCAAATTTTGATTTAATGAAGCCTACATCAGGAGGCTTCCAATCCACCAAATACTTGCTTCTGACTGCAGAACTTTTGGCTAGTTGTTCCCAGTTCCTACTTATATCATCAAAAGAGTAGGATGAGAACATGTCCAAGGATTTTACCCAGCTTATGGCCCTACATAAAATACTTTCTAACACACATGTCTGATCCCTCTCCTTGTCATTAAAGACTCTAGAATTTTGTTCCTCCCACACAGTCCACACCAAAGCAGCTCTAGCACACCTCCACAAAACTCTTCCTCTTCTCTTTGGCCACCTGAAAGTTGTAGGGTCAAAAAGATTGCAAATCTGCTCCAGTTCTGTCCACCTGCAACCAAAAAGATCAAAAAAGTTTTCTCAAAGGCCTACAACAAAAGCGTAAGTGATTAGTATATGGTAGCAACTTTCTTCATTTGCTTTGCATAGGGTACACCAGTTAGGAGAGAGAGATACAAAGACTAGGTCTTCTTTTTTGCAAAACATCCCAAGTGTTGATTTTTCCAAGGGAGACTTCCCAACAAAGGTAGAGGTGTAAAACGGGCCATGCAGCCCTCCCTTAGGATAACTTGGGGGTTGGCCCGACACGGTCCACGGAGCAAGCCCGTGCAGGCCGATGCTGTGCCGCGGGCCGGCCCAGGCTGTAGACCAGGCCAAAGCTATTTAATTAAAAAATTGAAAAAAACTTAAAATTTTAATTTTATATGAATTTTGATGCATACAATTGCTTATATATGCAATAATTAAATAAATTAGTATAATAAAATTGAAAACAATTGTTTATTTTATTTATATTATATACTATATTATTATTTAATTATAATTTATATAATATTATATATATATATAAAATATATAAATATATTATATATGTAAATATAAATATATATAAAATATAAAAATAATATATATGGGCCATAACGCGGGCCATGCCGGCTCGGCCTGGCTCGTAGACCTAAAACCCCAGGCCCATCACAGCCCACATGATCATGCCAGGCCGGTCTGTGTCGGGCCACGGTGGCACGACCTGACTTACACCTCTAAACAAAGGGCTCCCACTTTTGGAGGGACAGGTTTGGACCAAACTTCCTTGTTATGAAAAGGTTGAGGTAGCAGAGAGGAGCACAAGGAAGTAAAGAAAGAAGCACAAGAAAAGGATCCTGAGGGCAAAGGCTTCCAAATATGGGTATCTGGAAAAGAAGGGTCCAAACAAACAGGATGAATAGTTTTAAGGAGCAAAGCAACCTAGTCAAGCTCAAAATCTCTCAAATCTCTTCTAAAACCTAGGTTCCAATTTATGCTAGAAGAAAAGGAGGACACAAACCTTTGAATTGGCTCGTTTTTAAAACACGAGATGGAATACAAGGAGGGAAAGAGGTCATTGAGGGTGAAGTCACCAATCCAAACATCCTCCCAAAACAAAACCTTATCTCTAGTACAAGCGTCATACCTGATCAAATTCAAGAAGACAGGAAGAATACTATGAATAGCCTTCCATGGAGATTTCAGTGTAGCCTGCTGAGATACACCAGCATCCCAACCATTGCCTGCAACACCATGCACACCCCTTACAACTTTATGTCAAAGTCTTTCCCTTTCTAGAGGTCACCTCCATAGCCATTTGCCTAGCAAGGCTGTATTTTTCTTCCTTAGATTGCCTAATCCCAAACCCCCTGCTCCTTCCTCCTACACACTATTTCCCACCTAACCACATGATCCTTCCTCCCTTCCCCTGACTCCCACAAGAAATCCCTCATGACTTTCTCTACCTTCAAAATCACCTTTTGTGGCATTCTAAAGACCGAGAGAAGGTAAGTTGGCAAGTTCACATGAGTAGTTCTTATTAAAGTGATACGACCCTCGAGGGAAATGTAGTTTCTCTTCCAAACTACCAGCTTCTTTGTGCATTTTTCTACAATCGAATTCCAAAATCTTCCTTCTCTTGGACTCTCTCCTAAAGACATACCCAAGTACTTCAAAGGCTAGCTAGAGGTAAGGCAACCTAAGGACTCTGCTACCTCACTCAACTCCTCCATCTCCAAATTTACTCCCACTACACAACTCTTTTCGAAATTGACCTTCAACTTCGACATGCATTCAAACAACATTATTACTCGTTTCAAGTTCCTAGCCTTTAAGGGATCTCCAGTCTCACAAAAAATGATTGTATCATCTGTAAATTGCAAGTGTGTTACCACAATACCCTCTCTTCCTACCCTCCATCCTCTAAACATGTCCAAACCATCAGCTCTCAAAAATGAACCTACTAAACACGTCAGCTACCAGAGTGAAAAGGAAAGGAGAAAGGGGATCCCCTTCTCTCAACCCTCTAGAGGTTGGAAAGAAGTCTCTAACCACTCCGTTAACTAAAACTGAAAAATGGCAAGTTTTAAACAAGCCTCGATCCAACCACACCATTACTCTCCAAACCCAAAGTTCCTCAAGGACTCCAACAAAAAAAAGCCAATCAACCATGTCATACACATTCATTTGCTATCAAAATTTGATCTATAATTTGTCTTCCTTGAATGAGTCCCTTGTGATTGGCATATTAAATTAGAAAGGGCTAGTTTTAACCTTAACGACAACACTTTGGCCATAATTTTATAAATGCTAGTCACTAGGCTGATGGCCCTAAAGTCTTTCGATTGGATAGCATTTCCCTTTTTAGGTATCAAGGCCAGGAAAGTGGAGTTGATCCCTAGACTTATAAAGTGAACATCCGCAAACTCCACCTCTAACTTGATGATATCCCAACAATCCTGAAAGAAAGCCATAGTGAAACCATCAAGTCCAGGTACTTTAGATCTATCCATTGAAAACACAACTCCCTTTATTTCTTCCAAGTCAAAATCCTTTTCCAGTAAATTTTCCACCTCAGGGTAATCTAGGTCACTCTAATCCTCACATCACCCTGTCTTTTGTAGACTGCCCGGAAATGATTCATTAAAACATTGGCAATCTCCTCTTGATTATCCACAACTTCACCATTGATCTCTAACTTTTCCACAAAGTTCTTTCCCCTCCTTCCATTAGCGATTGCATGAAAAAATTTAGTATTGCCATCCCCTTCCTTAATCCATTGATGCCTTGATTTCTACCTCCAACAAATCTCTTCCCTAAGCACTATTTCTTCCAACTCCTTCTTCAGGGTCCATCTTAAGTTCCTTTCTTCCTTTGAGAGAGAACAATGTCCTTTTTCATCCAAGAGTTCAATTTGGGAGATGACACTTAATTTCTTCTCCTGCACTCTTTAATTTCTTCAATTCTTCACTTTTAGCCTCTGAATTTTCCTATGGAATTTGACATCCATCCCAAGGGTTCCCACCACTTCTTCACTTCACCACTCTTTATAAAGTCTGGATGTGTTAGCCACATATTTTCAAATCTGAAAGGTTTATCTCCACTCAAAAAGTTCTTAGTTCCAATTCTTATTGACCAATGATCTAAAGTGACTCTTAGCAAGGCCCTAGTTGACAGCCCTAACCAATGTTCTCTCCAATCTGAAGTAAAGATGATCCTATCCAGCTTAGAGCACCTCGGGGGGGATTGTAGGTTGGACCAAGTGAAGGCAGATTATTGGAGGGGGATTTCTAAAAGTTCACACTCATTAATAAATTCATTGAATCTCCTTATGCTGATTGTGATCACTTGATTGGGATTATTGGTCTCATTTGTAAACCTGATTACATTAAAGTCCCCACCTAAACACCACGGACCCTCCCACAAACCCCTTATATCAAAGAGCTTTTCCCACATTTTGCCTCTCTCTCCATATCTATTCGGACCATAAATGTTCATCATCACCCAGGTAAATTCTTCTCCCACACTCTTAAATTTCAAAGGACCGAAAACCAACCTATTAGCTCTTCCATTGGCTCCACTACCTCTTTCCTCCACATTGTCACTATACCTCCTGAAGCCCCACATGAAGGCATAAAAGACCATCCTAAACCTCTAGAGAACCACACACTTCTCACCCATTTCCTATCCCAATCTGCCACTTTTGTTTCTTGAAGCAAAACTATATCCGGTTTTTCCTTTCTAATCATATCCTTTATTATCCTCCTTTTCCTAGCACTACCCAACCCTCTTACATTCCAACTCAATATCTTCATTGAATCACTTAAAGTTCCACCCTGGAAACAACCATCCCTTACTTGAACCCTTTCCTTCTTTCCCCCAAGCATTGAACTCTAAGTCTACTGCAACATCTGATTTTAATCTTTCTACCTCCAATAGCTTCCTCTTTCTTGGACAATCTTTTTCCTTCTTCCCCTTCTTTTTAGCATACACTATAACACTCTCCACTTCTTTCAGTTTCAGACCCATTTCTTCTGCCACTTGATTCATCGGTTGCTTCCCCATTCCCTCACCCTCATCTCTTTCTTTCCCTTTTCTCTAGCTAGCCTCCTGTAGATTCAAATCTTCCTCAAATTTCCATCTGCTGCCTCCCTCCTTATCAGCTCCTCAAAGGATTCACAAACCAAATCCCAGATTTTTTCACCTTGTGCCTTCTATTCGGCTTCAAGACTCTAGTATATATTTTCTACTTCAAAGAAGTAAAAAATGGTCTTAAAATGGGAATTTGTATTAACTAAAGACAACAGAAGAGAAAAATAATGTGGTACAATTTATTTTCTTCATTTTTCTTTTCTTTGTTCAAAATGGTAAAAGATATTCTTAGAACATAAACATGCTTAACTGAAATCTATAGAAACAGAGAAAATACTTCCTTAAAAGAATACTTAGAATAGAACACAGAATAATTATAGGATTCAAATATTCATCCAATGGTGTAATCTAGTACCAATAGATAGACTTCTCTCTATAGGATCACAGAAGATTTCATTTGTTTACAATATTAACATCAGTTAAACTCATTGGTATAACTTGATAATAAGCAGCACCGGCATACAAGAGGCTGCCATACATTAGGTGAAAACACGTCCATAAAGGGGTCTCAATTGGAGGCAAATTATAATATCTAAGCATGAGAAAACATTTTTTTTATCAAATGTCTATTATCACATTATTTTACTAAAAGAAAAACATCAAAGTAGATTTTAGAAAGAGCGAACAACTCTTAGAATAAGTGCACAAAATATTATTGCTACAGGTATTACTATTACCATATAAATATTTTGCATCGCCAAATAAAAATTCTCACCCTTGTTTTGAGGATCATGTAGATGACTTCTAAGAGAACCCTTTTGTGCATATTCATAAATAAGGAATAGCTCATCATCACTAGCCGCAAAGCCAATCAATTCTACCTTGACAAAATTAATCAAACCAAGAGTCAAAGCTTTAAAATGTCAAAAGTGGTGAGAGATAAGCTTTAGAATTGAGAGAAATGAATTCTAATTCATGGTACAGGGGGGTTTACCAAATTTGCGTGATGAACCTTGCATAAAACTTTCATCTCTGCTGTGAATTCTTTGGTTTTTGTAGCAGTCATTCTTTTGATTGCAACCTCCTAAAGAATCCAAATTTTAACCATTAGTTGATAGATAATGCATATCACTTAACATAATTAGAAAAATGTACTGACCAATTTAAAGCACAAAATGATGCAAACCTGTTCCCGCAAAACTCCATAATACACAGAACCATATGTTCCATGTCCAAGTAGATTTGAATCAGAGAAACTATCAGTTGAAGAAAGAATTTCTTCATATGCGAAAACAACAGGTTTATCCATGTCAAATACATCAGGCCCCACGACTGCAAAAAATAAGATGCGAAGACTAGGGTTAAGACCCATAAGGATACAAGACGGAAACAGAAAGACAAGAAGGGGAAAAAAGGTTGATACATGTATCTATAAAAGGGGAACATAAAATCTTTAAAAGAATGAAGAACTTTTAAAGCAACATGCCAATAGATCTATGCTAATGGTAGCCAATGCTGGGGCATAGATGATTATCTAAAGAGGCAAAGGCTTAGAAGGGAACAATAACTTGAAGAGATGTCACTAATTGAATTTTTATTTTATTTAGATTTTACTCTAACCTTTATATTTGATGAGGTAAAAAATGGAAGCTTTTGGTTTATGAATTAATATAATATCATAGTATATCTCCCAACATAATATCAAGATGTGTGAAGAAGCTGGGTTTGTCAAGCATCAATATGCAAAAACAATTTTCTTTTGAAGAAACTAATGTATGTAATTAGATCATAAACAGATGTATAGGTAAATCAGCAGTCATGTACACCAGGGAACTGTATGTTAGACTGCATTTGGTAAGAAAGCAAATGCAGAACCAGAGCAAACTTTGCACTCAAACTTGGTCAATATAAAATAGGTTGGTTCCAGTCTGGAGATTCATATTTGCACCTATCACAACCAAACAAGACAATGCAAAACTGAACCAGGTTTGTATCCTTCTATTTGAACAAATTTGCATTCATGTCAGTGCATTTACTTTTTGCACTCTTACCAAACACAGCCCTGGAAAAAAAAACCTTGCAACCTATAGCTCCCTGTTTATACAAAAGACTCTCCTTTACAAAAAAAAAAAAAGGAACTATATGGTTTTCCTCTGAAAACTTTGTGAACCCTTAACCAAGAGTATAGCATTCCTTCTATCTTCCTGGCCACCATTTCTTCCTCTTCACTCTTATTTTTAAAAATGTGAGTATTCCTCTAATTCCAAATAGCCCAGAAAACAGCCAAAGGAGCTACTTCCCACACAGTTTTTCCTTGCCTACTCAGGTCATTGATATATCATCTTAGCAAGAAAGCTTCAACTGAATCTGGAAAACAACCCACAAACAAATATGTTTAGAACCCTTCCCCAAATATTTCTGCTCAAATTCTACTTATTTTGTTTCAGGGAACCCATCTATTTCTGAACTTTCCTTTCTCCAAAGCCATATGGAACCACTATATACCCTTATTTAGTTCTCAATGATGTTTATAGGTGACATTTTGTATACTCTTGTCATTAACAAGAACAAGGAAACTACAGTAAAAATGCATTTGTGCCAGTATTTTCAACCCACCATTGGCCTCCAATTACCCAGTCACAAAATTGGTTTTGGTGAATCCAAATATATTACAAGAAACTGCTGATTTGGTAAATGAATCATCAACCTGATCATTAAAACATGGCCCATATGACCTGCTCAATGGGTCAACTATTTTTTTGCATTATTTTAATTTATATGATGATGTAGAGGAGATGGGCCGAATGGCCCATAGGCTGTCATTCTATGTTATGTTTATGTTTTCCTCTGTAATGGGCCTTATTCTGGGCCCATACTCTTATATACTCTGTTTTTGTAATTTCTTGCCCACCCAAGGGCCTCTCTGTAATAATTCAAAGATTAACTTAAAAAATGTTTTAGAGTGTTAGAAGGAGGTTTAGTTCGAACCTCTCACTCTCTAACTCTCATTGGCGCCAACTCTCTTTCTCTCATTTTCTTAATCTTCTCTTGTTTGTTTTCTGGTTTTGCATCTAATCTCAAGCAGTTCTATACTTCAAGAGGGCTGTTTTCAACTGATGACATCATGGGTTGACCAGGGAACTATTTTTTGATGTGTTTGGTATTAAAGAATGCAAGAATTTTCAAAGATTAGAAGAAATAGGTACAGCTATTGACCATGTAGCCATTAGATTTACATGATGAGTCCTAACAAAGGAAGAATTCAAAGGGTGCACATGGAGACTGTAGTTAAAGTTGGCAAATCTATGCAGCACATACTAAGGTGTTGGGAACCATCCAGGTAAAGTAAGATCAAGAATTCATGGATGCTCCGGTGCTCTATCAGCAATTTAGGGTCCAGAGAGGGTAGGTAGAGCTCTGAGGTCAGCAAACAGGGGTTCTCAGGTCTAATAGGGGACATGGTTGAGCTAAAACATGTCCACAAACTTTGCCTGCAAAGGTACCCTAATTTAATGGGAGTTACTCATTTCTTTACAATTTAAATTGTCAATTACAAGTTATTTACAAAATGTCAGTGCTTTACCTATGTAATAAAAGACCATGCATCCCACAGTCACCAGTATGGCAAGGAAACTTCAATTTATTTGTTTTTTTCTAGTGACATTAACATATGTTAAAACATAGTATTGGCATTGAATTTTGTTTACTGGTGTATAGCTGTATTTTAATAGACTAAATTAATATGGCAATATAAATATTAATGTTATGTATAAACAGGTATTGAGTCTACAGCATCAAGGATGTTTAGTGCATTGAGGATACCTATTAACAGGTTTAAGGAAAATATCATTAAGGCACTCCCGCAGATTGATAACCTTAACGCTTCCATGGCCTCTAAAACCAATCCTACAACCAAAGTCCCAAGAAAAAACTGCTGAGGAAAGGAATATTATATATGAAAATTAGTGTCCAAGAGGGTCAGCTAACCGACCTTTAGAGCCTATCAACAGGTTCATGGAAGATATAATTGAAACAGTCTAACAGATTGATAACCTTAACACTTCCATGTCCTCTAAGATCTCTCCCGGAATTAAAGTCCCAAGACAAAGTTTGGAAAAGGACGACATTTCCAATAAACAAGAACTCTAAATTAGAACAATGAATACAATTTCAGGGATTGCTGACACAAAGGACTCTCTCCCCACCAAAGAACCTCACAAAAGTGTGTTTGCTTACCCTGCATCCCATTAATGTGCATGAAGCCAGTATTTGCTCTTAATATTCTTATTATTATCTTGTTAATTGCAAGAATCAATTGTTAGAACAAGATTTTTCAACTCCATTTCATTGAAAGTCCGATATCACTCATATAGATAGCGTCAATTTCAATAACTTCATGCTTTTGCAGTTACTACTCATTTTAGGGCCATTAAAGTAGAGCTGTCAGCCAGTTTACAGAGTGCATGAACATTTAAATAGCATTCATTCATACTGCTATGAAAATGTCAACAACTAACACAATTTTGAATTTAGGAGATAGTATGAAGTAAATAATGAAACAAAGCCGAGCAATTTTAGAACCTTCAGAACAAAAGAAAACATGTATATGGCTACAATTTGAGGAAAGGTAAGAAACAATAATTTCAATAATTTTACAGCTATACATTTTGGTCCAGAGTGTAAAACCTTTAGGAATATTCATTTGGCGATTGTTAACTTCACCATTAGTTGGCCTCTGGTTCCCTGATTCACAGCAGGTGGACCTCCCTGAAGCACAACAGAAACTTGTTTTTCGAAGAATATGGAACTTATGAGAGACCTTTCCATCAGGATCTTTTGCATGATTAGCTGGGCCAGGTGCAGAGAATATTGATGACTTCAGTGACACCCAGACATATATAAACACAAATATCAGAATAGTGCCAACTGCTAAGCTCCCTATAATCCACCCATATGGCAAATGAGCCTTATGGTTCACCTTATTTCCTGCAAAACAGGTGCAAATAAATCAATCTTAATAATAAAACTGAGGCACCATAGCATAAATTAAAACAGAATTGTAAATATGGCAAAACATCTTTTTAACTCCTGGAACCATTTTGGAATCAAAGTTGATTCTTAATTGGGAAGATCTATATGTATATATATATATGGCAATGTTATAATTATGTAGTATGATTTTTCACCATTTTGATGTTTCCTTCTGTCACTCCCCCAAAAGCTTAACTTACTCTTTGAGGGGAGGTAGGTAGTCGAGTGAACTAAGAACATGTAAAGGTTAAGCATGAGGTAATAGGTACCCTCTACATGTGCTTGTGCTTGCCACCATTTTATGCAATACAAAGAACCTTTTGACTAATTTGTGTGCCGTTGTTGTTGCCTTTGTTGCTTGTTGCTTTGTTTTGTAGGCTTTCTCAACACAGTCGAGCGCCGCACGGGGCCCCGTTGATTAGCCTTCTCATTCCTCTTACCAATATATATATATAAATCTTGGAAAGAGGAATGAGAAGGCTTCTTTTACATTACATTAGAGGAATGGAAAGACCTTGAATGTAAAAAAGAAGAAAACAAGACAGCCATGTCTCTTGTGCAAAGTGTGCTTGTAAAAAGGCTTCTGAAGAAACATTTGTTTAGTTTTTCTACTACATCTGTTTACAAGTTTTTGCTATGGATAATTCCTGATTGTCAGAACCCAATTGCAAGACCAGTTTGTCTGACTTCTCAAATAATCATACTATAAGGAATTGCTTTATATTGTTTAATAACTTGACAAAAATATTTACAGCCACCGTTTTCAAGAGAATGTCTGAAAACAATGAACTAAAATATAAAGCATCATACCTGCAAAAGTGTAAACAGATGGTGCAGGAGCTGGGGTGGGAGAAATCTCCTTCTCTAGTGGATAAGGATCACCAGGAACTACCAACAAAAATAATACATTTTAAGATAAGGCACATACATTGTAGATGAGAATTTATGCATACAGAATACTTGCATACTAAAGGGATACTGTTGGCATGACATCCAATTGTTCCAATTAGACAATGAAATAATTAGAAATTTCCTTGTAGTACTAAATATCCACAACATGTAGTACACTACTACTTAAACAATAAGCTGCATATACATGCTCCTTTATTTTAGATTTTTATCCTCCTTTCTCACTCCAAGGGTGAGATCTCCTTTGAGGTTATTTTACATTTTCCCCACCAATATACTATCATGCATTTTAAGGTGTTTTAACAACTATAGGCATATCAAGCCTTCAAGGCTTCAAGATTCTGTAGGGAAATAGAATTTCCTTTAGCATATTTGAATTTGTTAAGAGAATCCACATGGGGAGTGAAATATCCTCTTTAAAACAGAAAAAAGAAGACATAATGGTGCCAATGTTCAAGATCTAGCCTAAGGAGAAGTTGCAAAATATAATGGAGAATAACTGCTACCCTACTGTGGGCGAGCAGAGTATAAAAAGTACTTCTGTTGAGTCTCGCTGGCATGGCAATCTAGGTATCTTTTTAATTAAACACCTTCCCTGCCCCCTACTAAGTAAGAAGTAATTCAACAAAAATAAAGAATTAAAGATAAATGATAGAAATCCCATATACAGGATAAGGATATATAAATAAAGATATGAAGTCAACTGTAAAAAAATAAACTATACATTGAAAAATGATGAAATGTTATTTGGGTTGAATCAAATATAAAGTCTGGAAACCAAAATCCCCTAAATTCCACCATAATGGAAGACTAAAAATATGACCTAAGTGCTTTGTCTATTATGGCCTGGCCCATCCTGTGCTTGTACCATAAACACAACTTAGGTTCCTAGAAAATTCGTCAATGAGATGAAGCATTTAACTGTGCATCATAATAGCATTTGCACTACCTCTCCACTACTTTATAACACCTATTAGTCAGTCCGTTGTTGCTTCCATGTAAGAAAAATAGACTTGCATTTCTCCAATCAAAAAAGCATCACTGTATCACTGAGCATCAAAATCCTCTTTGGTTAACCGATAAATACTAAACCTTTACCACTCAACAGAAAACCCATCCCATCAACATGAAACTTCAAATTGTGTTTCCTATATGCATTTGCACAATTTCCATTACCGGATATCTCCAAAGAGGCATTCAAGGGTATCCCCTGATAAGTCATGCTGCATTATTGGTCGTCTCAAAAATTACTCATAACAGTTCGCACCATTATAGATGAAAGTTACTTCAGAAAGAAAGAAAAAGAAATCAAGTCAAATTGATAAGAACAAGGTATTCACCTAATCAATTATCAGATTATAATTCTTCATGTTGACTCCCTAGTAGTAAGGTTATCTAACCCCTATATGGACACTCTAAGAGCAACCATTCATTGTTAATATGGGGAATCCTTTACAAGAGAGTATAGTTGTATTTATATATGAAAAATCGAGTTCTGACGTGTAGGGCCTACCAGACATGGAAAAAGTGTTAATACACATATTCAATTGATTCAATATCAATGAACCTAGAATGGGGGTTGAAGGTTGGAATGAACGTATAAGAACTTTTAGAATTCCTTGGAGATTCTTGGTTGGCACTGAACTAAAAATATTTGGGAATGGGAACAAACAGATAATGATTAGGAAGGCCCATTGTTCCATTTTGAACCTATTGTATTTTTCAGTAATCAAAAATATTGTCAATGCATATGGATTTTCAATCCAAGTGGAAAACTGAACATAGAGCTACATATACCGGTTTGGAAATTAAATGATCCAGGCAATAAGAAAAATCTCAGGCCTAATATACCCTAAGAGTTAAAATGCCTATGCCTATTTCCTTCAACCATATCATATTAACTTTCCAACATACTAAGACAAAGCTTCCAAATCCCATTGCACTGGCAGTCATCGCTAGTGACCGATATTCTTCTTGATATCTCAGTTCTGTATCCTAAATATATGGGTATGTGCTTGAATTTCTTTGACAAATAAGACTCAACCTTTCTAATGTACTCCTCTTACATGCCCTTAATTCTTCTGAGTTCCTTTTTATCTTTCTTTCTTTTTTCTTTATTTTCTTCTTCATGCTGCTGCACCTATATGTCGATATACTCTTTATCTATCTCTAATGAAACCAACATTTATTAGAAGTGACATCTCATAATAAACCTTGTCAACTTAAACTAGGATGTAAGAAGCAACCAAAGCTTCTTTTCAATGACAACATTTTCTACAGTCCCCTTGAATCTGTTCAGACCTTTTCTGTCCATGTACTTCTTTGCCTAGTCCATCAACATCTAAAAAAATGATTCCTCCATCTTAAGTTGGTAAACACTTCCATTTTCTGGTTTCTTTCATTTCCAATTCTGATGACGATATGATATATGTTTTTATTGCTGATGAAGAAAAAGGAACAATAAATCCTTGTATTTTAACATGGTGACAATGCAGAAATTGTAAGAATGTGGATATCCTATTGTTCTGGACATTACATAATACCGGTCATTGCTGACATTTTGGACCGTCACCAGAGAAGAAAGACAAGGTAACAATCAAAATTGTGTTTCTAGAAAAAAACTCAGGAAACTTTCAGAGCCAGAATGTAGGAAATCCAGATACTTAATGCATTTCTTAACATAACCTCCTGATGAAAAGAAAAAAATAGCATGTTGGTTCCTGGAAATAAAATGGTATATGCACAACTCAAGAGAATCCCGTCCAAGCTCCATTGCTCTAGGAACGCTTACCAATCCCCAGATACCAAAGAGTCCCAAGTTTTTCCAAGCATGGCATGTATGGTTTCATAAAAGGAAGCTGCAATTTGGGTTTGTGCAAAAATTATGTGTGCTTTGTAGTTTGTACTATCCGGGAAAATTTTTGCCTGGTCAGCAGTTAAATTTAATCTATGTAGGCCATAAATTTCCAAACTTGATTTCACGCTGAAAGGCAAAACGGCATAATTACCCCTATTTACTAAATGGGTTCGGAATTTGCAAGTTTATTAGGTTGGGCAAAGTGTGCTGTAGACCAAGAGCAACATGGTGACGTTTTTTCAACAATTGCACCATAGTAAACTCTGCTGAAGATTGTGCAGTACAGGCGACGCTTGACAACGTTCATTTGGAAAGTCTCTAATGTTTCCTAGGAACAAAAGAAATAGTTGCTTGTTTGTTCCCAGAGCACCATACACCTTCCGATGGAATGTCGCCAAACGCCACCTAAGTCCAGAGGAATTGCAAATTTCAGACGAAAGAAGAACCAGATGTAGGGAAAAGCCTCACCTGAGTTCAGCGGAATATAATAAAGGGCCCCAACAGAAACATTATCAGGATTGGAAATTCCATTGACCATCTCAATATTGTCCATGCTCACACCAAACCTGCTAGCTAACGACTCGATCGTGTCCCCGTCTTGCATGACATAGCTCATCAAATAATTCCACAACCCGCTCGAGCAGCCACAGAGGAGGTGCAAGGAAACTACCGCACCAGCGCGAGCTCTGCGCGTGGAATTGGGTAAAAATGCAATCCCGCCGTACGCCTCCATAACCAGGTCATAGACCGATCCGTTATCCTCCCTCACCGTAAAAGTCGTGTTGGTCATGTACTTCTTAGCCGGAGCAGCACAAGAACAGTTCTTCTTAATGAATAGATAATCGCGATTGTTCCCCTCGACCGTCACATCTTCTGGAAGAACATCAAACATGCTCTGTATGATGGGTAGAGTTTGGTTCTGATTTGGCTTGAAGGCGAGAAATGAAGTGCAGAGGCGGGTGGTATCCGAGCAATTCAACGGCGTAGGATACGAAAAGGCACAGTGCAGGTTCAGAAGAAAGACTAGAATCGAGAAAGAGGTCTGTACGAGCTTCATTTGAGCTGATTCAATAAAAAACGGAATCTCAAACCAAAAATCGCACAAGTAAGCAGAACCGGAACAGAAGTTTGAAGATAAAAAATGGAAGAAATCGCGAGAAGTAAACACAGAGCAGTAATGAGACCGTACTCAAAGCTGGCAGCTTTAGTGAAGTCAAGGCTAGAACTAGACGATGTTGGAAGCGAAATAGCCTGAAAAATAGAGTTGTTCGCAAAAAGTAAGTAAAACTCGAGTACAGAAGGAAGGTTTCAGAGTTGAAGCCTGGAAGACAAGGAAGTTTTGGATAGTGGAGAAGTGAAGAAGGTTCCGCTAAATCTAGAGAAGTATTGAAAAAAAGAGACCACGACTAGTGAATGGAGAGAGAGAGAGAGAGAGAGGGTAAGAAGTACCAAGTACTAGGGGTGTTTGAAGGACAGAGAGGGTGGGACTGTAAACTCGGCATTTCCTTTCATTCATTCAGACCTTCAACACCCCCCAACGCCAACTGGAGAGGCAGTAGAGAGAGTAAAATTGAGAAAGCGACGAGTTGGAAAGGGGTAAAATGAGGAAGAAATAGAAACTCCGGGAGATTTTTCGGGTCAATCAACTAACTAAACGCCCCTCCTTTTAACCAATTACTACCAGAATGCCCAACAAATCCCACAATACCCTTTAAACTTTGTTTCTAGCCTTTGAAAATGACCAAAATAGCCTCAGTCTACCAGTCATCCATCATCTGATTTGTAATTTTGTATTTTGAAAGCTATAGTGAAACAAACGTGAAGGGGCATTTGCGTCATCTGGAAAACTATCTGACTGTATGAGTGAAAGGAGGAAATTTCTAGGTTTTGGGCATATGAATGAGCTGGAGCTGGCGATTTGGCGTAAAGAAAGGCACAAGTGCTTGCAAGGAGCTGGCAGGGAGAATGACAGTTGCCACGTGGCAATAAAAATCAATGTTGCCAGTTGAGGAGGATTACATTACATAATTCAGGAACGGTGACTAAAAATGTTTTATATGATGCTAATCGCAATTAATGAGAGTCAACACTTAGATAACATAACATTGATATCATACGCCGGGTATCATGGTAATTAAATGCGACTGGAATAGTGGAATCCGATCCACCGAAAGACTCGACACTGCTGAACACAGACACTGACGTGTCCATGCCTTAGAAATTCGAGCCTTTAAAACTCTTGTACTCTACTTAATAACGGGAAGTGTGGATGATTGACTAATCGAAGGCCAGGTTCTAATAATCAGACGGTCGTAACGGCTGCACGGGCTATGCATTGCAGAGAGAATAATATCTGCGGTCAATAAATCTTAGATATTGGATTGCTGCTTTATCAAAAGTATGGTGTTGAATCCACGAATTTCGGTACATGCCCTTGACCTGAGTACGCTACAAGTGAAATGTGAAGACTGAAGATGGTTGATAAGGCAGATAGTAGGGAGGGGCACCGTGGATCAGTTGATTATCAATCAAATGGTTAGTATTTAGTCCATGATGGTCTGGCCTTCTGGGTAGTCCGGCACGTGGACAGAGAACAATTGTAAAGGGCACCAACGCTGAACTGAAGCCCCAACCTACCTACTACCCACAAGAAAAAGCAAACAAGGAACAACCTGGATGTAATCGATATAAAATATATATGAAACTGCTCTAACTGGACTGAAAAAGCGAAAACCCTCGCAGGGGCCAGGGGGGATGTTTCGTGTGATGGTTGCATTGAGTCCGGATCTGCTCCTCACACCGACCTCACATTAGAAACATCTACCGTATTCGTTGCGTGAGACGCGCGCTGTGTGAGGAGTAAATCCCAATTCGTCGTTTCCATTTGTATTTTCAAGCGTTGCTAATGGTAGAACCAGAAAGGCTGGATCTGGCTGGTTGGGTCATGGGTGGTCTCATCCACGTAGGATAATCCCAGACCCAGAGGATATCCGATCCGATCTCGAATCAAAGCAGCAAGGACGTGAAAATAATGAGAAAAATGAGGGCAATCAATGTGGAAAGAAGAAGCCAGTCTGATTGCCTGAAACAAACAAACAAAAAAGAGTAAAAAACAACATTGTGGAGAGACTTCACCGGACTAGAGTAGTCAAAACGAAAAGATGAGAAGCAAGTTTTTTAGACATATATATATATATATATATATATATATATTGATAATTGAAATAAATATTAAAGAAAGGAAGGGGGAAGGGGGAAGGGGGAAGTGGGGGTAGCAGGGTTACACGAGGGTGGGGCCGCTGGACACGGGCATTGTCCCCGTGTTATGATCTACATGTGGAGTGCGCTGGAAGGCGTGTCTGAAGTCTGAACTGAAATGTGATGGCACTGGCAGAGCTCTCTTCTGTTAATTGTGTTAATAATGAACACCATCGCAATAGTAGAGACCCTTCACTACTGCTACTACTACTACAACCTATAATATATTATTAGATTAAGCAACCACGCAGCTTCCCGTTACCTTAAAAAGTATAGAATAAGAATGTAAGGCCTTTACTTAATTATATTATTGTTAGAGCCTAAAGGGGAGAGCAATCAATCATCCAGACTGGATTTGTCGTACCAGCACAAACCCGAAGGCACAATTTCCCTTTGTTTATTTTTGGTCCAGGCCCCACTCTCGGATCTTGTCGCCTCTCAATGAGAGAGAGACCTTGTAATTGTGAATGTGATGAATGGTGAATCCAATCCCCCTCGTCTCATTGGAATATGTAAATTAAAGATAACAGCTGAGGATGGTACTTTAATTAGGGTCTGTAAATTAATTAAGTGGACGTAGATGGTCAATTGATCAATGATCAGCAATTCCCTTCTGAGTTCTGTCCTTCATCTTGAATACAATGGTCGTATTGCACGCAGCAGCTAGTAGTGGGAATCACCGTAGACTTGGATAATGGCGACAACGCAGTTTGTGTATATGTGTGTGTATCCACTTCTCTCGCACTAACAGTAACAACAGCTTTGTTTGTTTGTTTGTATTTGTATTTGTATTTACTTTACGTCTGGTTGGTTTTCTTATAATGAAGCTAGCAGTTGGCAACCACTTAGATAATAGAGATGTATAATTGGCGACAACAGCAATCCCTCCGAAGCAATGTTGCTATCTTAAACGGAACGGGATCATCATTCCCTTGTTTTATTGTCTTTTCCTGATCAGTTCAATGCCTTAATTATTTTCCATTAATCTATGGTTGCCAACCATGAAGGATTATAAAAGGAATGTCAATAATTAACCTAATCCAATGATTCCAATCATACAACGAGCAGGAAGGCCCTACTTCTACTTGGGTGTGGGATATATTCAATTGAATTGACAGGACTCTGTTTAATTGGAGTTGGTCATAAATCATAATTGGTAATGTATGGATTTGAATCAAGTATCAGGTGGATTATTATTATTTATTCATTTAAACCGTGACAACTGATAAGGTTCCATGGGTTACAACTTGTTTAATTACTGTATCCAAATTGGAGTTGGAGTGGGATGTTTATCTCTTTTCTGTTGTGTAGCTAATTTCTAAATTTTCCTTTGCAACAGTAATTCCTGAGTGCTGACAACGTCCCACCCGTACGTTCTTCTGCCTACTTGTCACTTGTCAGGTCAGGTTAAGGTGTATTCAAGTCCGTCCAGTTGTCCAACTACATCCCGTCCGGTTTCACCTCCCTGAATTGAACTCCGTTCTGTTATTGGTACTAGTACTACTCCGTTCTGTTATTGCCGCCCTACATTCTGGGAACGGGATGAGTATATCCCTAGCTTGTTCAATTTCAGAGAGAGAGAGAGAGAATGAGAGAGAGGTTCATCGAATATGTGAAATTCAGAATTTAGTTGTCGTTTTGAGTCTAGGATAAAGAGTTCTGGCAATAGCACAGTAGTCTCTCAAATTTCTATAAAGATAAATTATTTAACACCTCCTTTCCCTCCAGGTTTTCTTTTAATTTACTCACCCCCTTACCTTCTAGAGTTGTAGTTTGGAGCTGGAATTACTGATTTGATTCCATTCCCTCCACCGACATGCCATTAGTTTTAGGCAAACAAAGTGCGCTTTGGTGACAACTTTTTAAAAATCTATTTTACCATTTCTTTCTGGCACCTCCTTCACTCATTGTATTACAAATATACCACCATTCAAACAAAACATTTTTCGAGATGGACTGAGCACAGGTTCAAGAAAAATTGGAATAAAAAAAAAACAGTATTTTACCACTTTAGATTATAGATTTCTGGAGGCAAAAGACTAATAATAAATTATTCAGAAAAGTACGGATTTGTCCAATGCAGATTTCTGATTTACACTGCAGGGCTATAAACATTCAAATGGACCGATACCCACACTCTATGCACCCACGCCCACTCGTGAATTGGCATCAATTACGAGCTGACACCTATCCTGACCGTACATTCAACCTACAAATTCTGACACTGGGGGTATCGGTCATTCTCCCTAAATCATTTTGGTCTTTGGGTCACATGTCAAATGGTCTGGCCATCCGGTTCAATCACTAGATCCATTCAAATAAAAAGGATAAATAGAAAATGATTTCAGATAAATCTTTCAAAAATATTTCTACATAAACAAGCTTAAAACAATAAATGTTATAGTTTAGGGAAATTGTCTAAAACTCACAATGAGTTTTCAGCATTTCTCTTAAACTCACCACAACTTTTCAAAATGTCTAAAACTCACCATGTCACTAACTTGACATTAAACAGACTAACGGGTGTTAATAAATTATCATTTTAACCTTCATAGAAAAATATAAAATATATACAAAATAAATTAACGGGTGTTAATATATTACCATTTTAATATTTAGACATGAAAAAGGAAAAGGTTCAAAAAATAATTTTCAAATATAAAATACATAAAACTTAGAAATTACAAAAAATATAGAAATTGCAAACAAAATAAAAAAATTATTTTCAAATTATAGAAACCATAGAAATTGAAAAACAAAATCAGAAAATACAAATTGTAGAACAAACACCAAAAATTATAGTAAAATATAGAAATTACAAATAAATAACAAAAATTACAGGAAAATTTATAGATTGTAGAAAATAGAAAATGTAAAAAAAAAACAGAAATTATAACAAAACACCAAAAATTCAAAAAGAAAAAAACAAGAAAATTGAAAATTGAAAAGACCATTCTCCTCTAACTCACCATTCAAGGGTAATTTGGTCATGAAAATTGTTATTTATACTGACATGGACACTTCTGTTAAGAAGCATTAACAGTGCACTAACGGAAGGTGAGTTTTGAAAAATAAAAACTTACTAACATGGTGAATTTTAGACATTTTGAAAAGTTGTGGTGAGTTTAAGAGAAATGTTGAAAACTCATGGTAAATTTTAGACAATTTCCCTATAATTTATAATATTTACTGGCATATTTATGCAACATACAGTGTTACTTTCAACAAACCAATTTCTAACCCCTCTACAGCTCTACCCAAAAAAAAGGGGGTTGACACAGAATGACAGTAAGGAGATATCCTTGGCTGTTTTGAATCTTGTGCTTAGGTCCAGCTATAAGCTTTTCTGGGGGAGCAAAAATTAGCTGAACGCTTTAATGGGGCCATATTTTTTATAATAGGGCCTATAAATTTAATACTGACGTAGAACTTTATTATTGGTTTTACAGTTCATTAAACAGTCAAAACGTTCAGCTAATCCGAATTCAAAGATAATGGTGTGATATGAGCTTTAGTAGTGGCGCTCTTGCAGTATTTAGATATATGTTGATAGCAAGAAACAATATTGTGTAGTGTACATCGAAGCCCTCCATTTAGAAGTTTTTTACCTTTTTTTTGTCTGATGTTATAACAAGATTTTTTTTTTTTTTAATCTCATTTTTTTTGGCAAACAAAGAAAAAACATACAGCTGCTATCATAAAGGAGCTTTATACATGACTGACTGACCGAAGTATAACTGATCATCACTTGGACTTTACATGCAAAAAAGGCAAGAAAATGAACTAACTGATTAAACTGTCTTTTTATTTATATTTATATGCACTAAAAATATAAAAGAAAAAGATGATATCAGTGATTTGGATATATTCCCAATGCCATTGTTAGTGAGAAAAATTGGATGCTGACTCAAGGATAGATTAGTCAACAAACATTCCATCATGTCTCGATTATTTGAATGAATCTATTTTTCCACGCAATCTGGAGATTATGTAGACTACCAACAAATCAGAACCATGTTGGAATTGAGACTCGGAACATGTTCTATGATCCTGTGGGATGAGTTACAACGTAGCAGTGGACTTGTGTTTGTGTCTGAGTGAAGAGAGGGGAAGGCTCAAAGCCAAATAATGAAGCTTCAGGGAAATGTTAAAAGTACAATTGACCTTAAAAGAAGGGAACCATCTTTTGGTACAACCGACTAGGAAATAGAAAACATATAATTCCTAAAATGCCTCTGGATTTTGATCCGATTTTTACCTTTCTTTTCTTATTTTTATCACTTATCTTATCAATCTTTCGCTTTTTTTGTAGGTTAAATTACAAAAATCTCCTTCACTTTGCAACCCCTAATTAGATGATGAAATGCATTAAATTACTAAAATGTCCATTTTTACTTTTCTTATTTTCTTTTCTTTATCCTTTTTCTCTTAAACCCTAATGGAGGAAAAATACCTCCATTTTATTCAAACCAAACAGCTAAAATAACAAGAATCATTTATATATATATATATATATATATATATATATATATATATATATTTAATTCGTGATTCATTTTACTAACATGGATGTCTCTTTTCATCTTAAAATATAAAACTTGTCCTCTCTTTTCTCCAATAAATCAAGAAAAACCAAACAAAACCATAAATTTACATGAAATAAACCTCTACCATTTCATTTGAATACTAAATCCAGCCAAAAATTTGCAAAGATCTACAAAAGCAACTAAGAGGACTTCAATGTTATATTTAGAAAACTAATCAAATCATAAATCATTCAAATAAATACAGAAATTCCCGGTTAGTACCCTAAACTTTGGGCCTAGTGCCACTTTGGTCCCTGAACTTTAAAGCGTGACAATCCAGTATTCGAACTTTCAAAACATGCCAATCTAGTTCCTACTATTAACCAACCGTTAAGTGGCATTTGAAAAGACACAAATGCCCTTCAAGTGCCATCTAATTTTCTCTATCAACCATCCAAATGTTGACGAAAAAAAATACCCATTGAGATGTGATAAAAATTAACATTCCTAAATCCTTGCCTCTTCTATTCAAGAAAGTTGGAATCACCAAAATACCCATTGAGATGTGACCCCAACTTTCTTGAATAGAAAAGGCAAGGATTTAGGATTGTTTTTTATCAACACTTGGATGGTTGGTAAAGAAAATTAGATGATGCTTGAAGGGCATTTGTGTCTTTTCAAATGCCACTAATGACTAGTGAATGGGCTGATTAATAGTAGGTACTAAATTGACACGTTTTGAAAGTTCAGGTATTAAATTGTTGCATTTTAAAATTTGGGGACCAAAGTGGCACTAGGCCCAAGGTACATGAAAACTTTTAAACAGTTGGATGTAAATATTTTTCAAAGTTAATTGATGGAACTCAAATGAATGGGGTCTTTGTCGCAAATGAAAATTCAAGAGGGTATTTGTTACTAAACCTATAGTACATGGATCTTTTTAATATACCCTTGTTAAAGATTTTTGGACTATAATCCCCCTCAAAAATCTAATTTGCAGCCCCCTCCTAGTCTACTAGTAGGCCCCCCTATAAACCACATCCTGTCATTGAATTTGGCATCAATCCACGGGCAGGATTCAGTCCATCCCTAATCTACTAGTAGCTCCACCTAGGGGTGGACTGAACGATAAAAACCCCAAATTTTTCTGGCCTAGACTAACCTCATGATCATAAACTCAAACCCAATCGAGTTCACATCTCTGCCCCACAACACCTCACAGCACATCCCTGCCATGTATTGGGAACATCTCCTGATGATAGTACCAGTCTTGATGATGTCATCATTGGGAGATGTTCCCAATACATGGCAGAGATGTGCTGTGGGGTGGAGATGTGATCTCAACCCAATCTGTATAGAAAGCTTAGCTTGGATCAGGTTGGACCCAAATTCAACCCCTATTTTTAATACAAGGTTGCAGAAGACTGTTAGAACAGAATAGGTACAAGTTTGTCCCGAAGCTCATCTCCTTCTTAAAAAGACTTTACAGCCTATCAGAGCCAGAAAATGTGGGAGATCACATCTCCGCCCCACTACGCCCCAGAGCACATACCCGCCGTGTATTGGACTGCAACGAGATGTGAACTCAAAATGTGGATGTGGACTCAAGATGTGTATTGTGCTGTGGGGCCGTTGTGGGGCGGCTACTTGTAGAGCGGAGATGTGAACTCAAGATGTGGACGTTCGACTGTAACGAGATCGACTTTCATGACGATAAATCTGTGTCCACACCGTGTTCTAACAGCCTTTTTGCAACCTTGCATTGGGAATATCTCCCTTTTAAGTAAATGCTGATCGAAGCTTCGGATTCTGATTCTGATCACATGACGTGACTGTCTCCTGACGTCTTCTCCTTCCCCCTTCTAGTTCTGTGTGAGTCGTGAGTTGTGTGACATAGATCGGTAGCATCTTATTTCGAGCTTCTGGCTCATTGTTTTTCGATCAGGTTTCCGACTACTTCTCTGCTGCTTTAAGTGATTTTCAGCCGAATCCTCTGTTTGGTGCTGTCACCGGAAAACTAGTTCATGATTTTGCAGGTGAACATCTCCTCCGCTTCGCTGTTTTCCTTTCCCTGCATTTCCACGTAGTTCTACTAGTAACCAAGTTTTGCCCTTGTATTTTCTATACACCAAGAATCAGAAGGCATTAATTTTCTCTTTCTACGAAACATTTCTGATCATTTAAGAGTTTCCTTAAATGTGGAATCGAAGTACTTGAAGTTAATTAATCGCAGCATTACGTGAAATAATAAAATTAGACCTTAATACTCTTTAATTGTCTACTTGCTTAGTTTTAGGACGATTATTGTACAATTCTGTTTCTGTACAATCAACACTGGGAACAAAATCGAGAGATGGTGATAGTTGTTGACATTGGTTTTGGGCGTCTTATTGGGAACTTCACGAGCCCCTAAACCTGGTAATCGTTGTTGATCTTTTGAGTAGACATCAGACATACACACACACACAGAGACTCCATGTCGTCCTCATGTTTTTAATCATTATTGATCTGCTCCATGCAGGTAAAGCAAAGGTTGTAAAGCCGATTCTTAACAACAAGGTATACACTATACAAGATTTTGCTCCATGTGACATTCTCTTAATTGGGAACATCTTCTATAATGATGTGCTTCTTTAAATTTTGCTCCATGTGACATTCTCTTAATTGGGAACATCTTCTATCATGATGTGCTTCTTTAAATGAGTTTCGGGAAATGCTCCATTTAGTTTGCTTTAAGTCCCTCAAAGTTCTATTTGAGAGATCTATTGTTTCTTTGAATATGTTAATATATGGATAAATAAGAATTAAAATCCATGACCTAGAAAAAGGACTTTGGATCATTACTAGATGCAAAATTTTGTAATATTGGTCAATAGCTTTGTAAAATCAATACACCAAGATTAGAATCTAGGAAAGAGAGATTGTGTAAAATCAACTGTAATAAAAGAAAACTTAAAAGAAACTCAATAAACATCAGGTCAAACTCTCCTGTGGAACTCCTTAAACATCAGGTCAAACTCTCCCTGTGGAACTCCTTAAACATCAGGTCAAACTCTCCTTCCAACATATTCCAGCAAACCTTAATAAAAGAAAACTTAAAGCCATCTGGACCTGGGGTCTTATCCCCATTATATGTTTTAATGCCTCCTTAGTTTCCTCCATCTCAAACTCCCTTTCTATCCAATTTGCTGAAAATTCAATTAGCTTCTCAAGCACCAGCTCCTCAAGGGACATCCAATTCCTTGCTCTCGAGGTATATAAGTTCTTGTAGTATCCTACCACTCTCTTCTGAATTTCATTCCATGTCTCCACCACTTCTTCATCCACCTGAATTTTTGAAATCAGGTTCCTCATTCTTCTAGCATTCGCATAGGCCTGAAAGAAGGTCGTGTTTTTGTTGCCTTCTTTCTGCCATGACACTTGACTTTTGTCTCCAATGCTCCTCTTCTCTAAGAATTAGCCTCTTAAAATGTGGATGATCAAGCTACATGTTTTCAAACTTAAAATGTTTTGGGCCAGAAATCACCTAAAATTGCCTAAGCACAATCGGCTTATGGTCTTACATAAAGAATGACAAAGTTTCTTGCACCATGCCACCAACATGTTCTTCCCAGTCTCCTGAATAAAGAAACCTATCCAATCTTCTTAAAATAGGTGGGCATTTCCCATTTGACTAGGTAAATCTACAGCCACTCAAAGGAGGATCAATTAGACCATTCCTCATGAATTCGCCAAACCTTCTCATCCCTAGACTTTCTCTCTCATCCTTCCCCCCCCTTCACCTCCCCCAACCTTCTTACCAAGTTGAAGTCTCCCCCCAAAACACCAAGGACCCCCCAATCCTGCTTTACCCCATCCACTTCCTCCCAAAATTCTGCCCTTGCCCCTTCTTCATTTGGCCCATACACATTTGTAAGTCCCCACTTCCACTCCCCTTCCACCATCTGAAAGCAAATCAAAATTGAAAACACCTCCTTCATCTCTCTCTCTCTCATGCTAAACTTGCATTCCAATCTATTTAATGCTTAAGTGTTCACATCAACGTTTCCTATTGTTACTTGTTCTTCTACTGTTCTACACAAGAAAGATCAAACCATCCTACTTATATAAGTTCCATGAAGAAAAACTGATGTTGGATCTAAATTCTAGCACTTGGGTCTTCAATTTCCAGAAATTATGCTGTCATTATATCATATTCAAATGTCAGGAGGAAAAAATTCAAGTTGGATGTAAATTCTTATAATTAAGTCTTCATCTTCCTGCATGAATGGAAATCATGCTGTATGGGTAATAAGTGAGTGGCCTTCTGCTAGCAAAGAAGGTTCACCTTTGAGATGGATACCATGGGAGAATTTCTAGAGGAGCATCTTTTGGCATCAATCTCTTAGTGGACAGTTTCTCTACCTTCTTAATTTGTCTGGTGACAGGCAAGTGGAACATTGCCTTTCTGGGACTGCTTAGGTAAGTGAGCTTCTATTGCTTAGAAATGATGTAGGGGATGAACTATAGCCAAGTCTTAAAGTTGTCTCATCATCTTTACTGTTGATGGATTTCAAATGGGAAAATAAAAGTTGATCCTTGGTTTAATCCTTCTTGTTGTTGTTGATAAAGAGTAATGTATTAATCTCCAAAAGGGATAATGCTGCACAATAAATCTATCAATCGTGGTACCTGAACTCTGCATGTCCAGTTGCTCTGTTGCTTGTTTAATAGCTTCTGGGAAAAAAAGGTCAGAATTGGTAAGAGATGAGCTCTGTACCTTATTTCTCTGAGCTGCCTAGTTGAAGAAGCTGTCTATATCCAAAGAAGGTTTGGATGATAGAGATAATAATTAGTTTTCATTTCATTATGGAGAATGAACATGATGGAAAATCACTTCTTCTCAAATATTATATAGCTGAGAAAATACAAAAAAAGGCCATTCCCCAATGTTGGTTCCAGCTATCTGGGGTCTTGGGAGAGGTAGAGTAGATATGAAACTAACATTTTGGCTTTTTCAGTAAAAGTGGCTGGTCTCAGATTTTTACCCATGTTCTCACACTTGTCTGCTCAAGACTTTACCATTACACCAAACAATGGCAGATAATAGAAAATACAATATAGGATAAATGAGCTGTTAGAAATTTGTGCTGGCAATGACACAGGGGCATGGTAATTGGGGAAAATGAAAATTAGATGTGATTTATCTATTTATAGACATTGTCACTTCTCTTTTAAATGTAATGTAAGTAATCGAGGTCTATGCCTTCCTCACTTCAGTAATTTATCTGGTACCCTTTTACAGCTTATGTTCTATATCTTAAACTTAAATTTCAACCATAAATTGATGTTGAATTGATAGCAAATTGGAAGCTAGGTATTGTTAAGATTATCAATAACCTTAGCTTGAGGAGCAGAGCCTGGATACTATCTACTTTGATGGCCTGTTCCCTTGGTAACCTGGAACTTCAGGTATAGGAGTTTTCTTTAAGAATGATTTTTGTCTATTCTTTGAGCTATTCAGGAAACCCTTCTTTCAATGCTGAGCATCTATGTATTGAAGATGGTTCAGCTTTTGTCAGTTGATCATTTTGATCCACCATGGCATGCTCACTCAATTATCATTGATTGCAGAAATCTCCTTTGGACCTTCTCACCTTACTCAGTCTCTTATATTCTTAGAGCAGTTCATTGCCATGATACCTGGATACCAGTACACGCCTAGTGTACCTGTGTCGGACACAATATGTACCTGATACAGTAATGGATACGTACTGGACAGGACACCAAATACTGCAGGGACACTTATAGGTATATTCTATAACTCTAACACTTAAAAATATGTGGAGTGAGAGTTGAGAAATGACATTTAGCTTCAAAAGCTATATGTAGAAACATGGTATAAGCATATTACATGAGATAGCCATACCAGTATGTGCATGGAATACTGAGGGAAGTACAGAGGCATTAGCTTCTATGATCTAGAGCTGCAAACAATCGGGCCTGTGCACTTGTTTGGTAAGGTGTTGGGAGATCAAACTTTGTAGGTGGAGCTCCAGTCCCAGGGGCATTTGTATGATGTGGGATTTCCATTTTTCCCTTTTTTATTTTTTTACCTATCTTCTTTTAACAACAAGAATAGGATTGGACTTGATGATGGGGGCTTCTGTATTTTCTATGCTTATGCTTATTTATTTTCATGTGTCGAAAATCATGTGCTGTATTTTCTCATCCTTCTTTCAATTTTTTTTTTTTTTTTAGATTGCATCAGCTTCTATAGTATTTGATGGATAAATACTACGTGGAAAATGGCAGCCATTTATTCTTTGATCCCATAATTTTTCTTTCCCATGATGTTATTATGTGTTGTGGTATTCATGTAAGCGGAAATTGATTATGTAATAAGGCCCATTTCTTTCCATATTCCTTCTTTGCTCCAGGAATCTAAATTCTACACAAGAGCTGAAGTCTCTTCACACAACAAGAAGACTGATTGCTGGATCATCATAAAAACTAAGGTTTTGTTCTACTCCTGAGGTCAATACTTTCTTTAAAACATAAAGCTATTAAACCTAACAGCATGTTACTTGTTACTGTAGGTGTATGATGTTACTCCATATGTGGAAGAACATCCAAGGGGGGATGCAATACTAGCACATGCTGGGGATGATTCAACTGAAGGGTTTTATGGGTATGCATATCTTTTATGTCAAATTTGCTTTGTTTCTTATTATCAGATAATTAGCTGATATTGGAATTTTTATTTTGTTGCAAGCATCTGGAACTTTTGTTCGAATCATTTATTCTATTTGTAATGATGACTTTCTATTCTGTATTTATTGTGGCAAAGTTCTTCTATGCTTCAGCAATCTTTGTTTTGTTGCAGGCCACAGCATGCTACTTGGGTCTTTGACATGGTTGATGAATTCTACATTGGAGATTTGGAGAATTAGTTGCCAATAGCCACTAGCTTCTGAAATTGTGAAGAGAACTGTTTATTAACTAGCGGTAATTCCTGTCTGAGTCATAAAACAACATATATGTTCATTTTCACAGGATCCATTGCCATTTATGTAAGTTTTAGAGATCTATTCTCGGACAGTGTTTACATTTGAAGGAGACTGAAAGCTCTACTAGACGATTCAGAAGGACAAGAGAACCCACAGAGATCTACAATGACATACAGCTGCATTTGAGCAAATCCCTATTTGCGAATCCCATCATTTGCTACAAAAATCTGCTAGAACATCGGATTCTCCAGGCGTCCCTCTCAACGAATCTGAGCAGGATTTTGAGCAGTCTTACTTGGGGAGTTGGAGTTCGGATGAGCTGTAGGGCACGTGTGGGGCGCGCTCTGCGGGGAGCCCGTCCAAATTCTCTCACCTGAGTTGCCTTCATCTAGAACAGGCCCAAACTGTTCCGGCCTTTTGACCTGTACTGCTGTACATAGAAAAAGGGCCAACTCCTCCAGCCTTTTTGACCTGTCCATAGAAAAGGGCTATCCGCTATATGGAGTATTGGGAGGGGTAGACTGGATATGGATCCAACATTTGGCAAATCTTGTGCTGTTCTCATATTCTTTGGGGCTGTTTGATGATGGCTGAAATAGCTGAATTGAATGATTTATTGCTTTGTATTTTAGTGGATAAAATAATTAAAGGTTAATATATTCATGGGTATAATAAATTAGTAATTAATATAACTTCAGCTTTAGCCATCCATAGCCTCCTTAATGACTTAGGGGATGGGGGGTAATCCATCCCTCGTGCGGGCGGAGGTTCGATTACATGTCTCTGTTACGACCAACATGAGACCTTATCAACCAATTGGTTGGCACTTTGTTACGCGATATTTGATTTTGTAGTATTGGATGGCTGTTAAATTTGTGAAAAATACTGAGAGAACGAATTGGGCACAAATTGCAATGCAACAATTGTTATTTCTTTTTTATTTATTACACATAAGTGCCATTAAGCACCACATAGGCGAAAACGGCTCCCCTAAGCAAGAAACTTGATGAGGATGTTTACTCTAAAAATGAGTTTCACATAACCTGAGAAAAGAGGCGGTATAAAACATTTGTACCTGATAGTTCATCCAAACAAGATTATGGGTAGGTAAAACCTAATCACATAGGTGCTGATAATTGCAATGGACACACAAGATACAAAACAACGATAGGAACCTTGGGCTGAGTTTGGAAGGAGTATAAATGCAAATATGTAAAGTGCAAAATTTTATATTTTGTATTATTTTGTATATATTTATACTGTATATATTTGCATTTGTACTGCTTCCAAACTGAGCTTTAGGTTAAGTTTGCAAAGCCCAAAAGTTCATAGCCCCATTTTAAGTTTTTTTGGTTCGAGGCTTGAAGGTGGTTTGGCAATAATGTTTTTTTGGTTAGACAATAATGTTTTTAAAAGCAACTCTTACCAAACACTAAAAAACATTTTTTTGCTCAAATTTGTTTTCCACAGCCCAAAGCTCAAAATTAAAAGTTATCCAAACCTTATTCACTAAGAAACTAAAGTCATAGGTCATTCGGTTCAGTTATTAGCCAAAAAAAAAAAAAAAAAGCCCCTATGAGTTGAACCTGCCCAAACCACCTCTCTCAACGTCTGGGCCTGCGATTGCCAAGAGAGATACTATCAAAGTTCAATCTGATACCTAGGTTATAATGAATGGGAGGCATGAATAATAATTGGAATATATCCCGCTGCAGATCATCCCTTCTATCGAAGTTCTTATACTGTGTGTTGAAAAAGCAGTGAAAGAAGATAACATGATAACATTGCGTCTCCCCTCCCGTCCCAAATAATTAAATAAATAAAGCTAACATTTTCCTGGGGACCATCAAATTCCCTTCTTTCCACATGCCTAGCAATATTGCAGGCAGATGCAGAATTATCTATTCAAGGTAACAGCATAGGAAGATTCTTGCTCAGATGGTCCATGTCGCTCAGTTAGGTTTACTTTTTTTTTTTTTTAACTTTCCAATCCTGAAATAGTTTACAGTTTACCTTGTATATTGATCATTGATGGTCTGTGTGTGTGTATAAGTCAAGAGATGTAAACAAGTTCATTTGACTAGCTAGGTCAATCAACTGTCTATGAATCTCCCAAGTTAGCCACCAATTGAATTGGAGCAGGTTGCCCTTCTGCACGTAGCAGTACTATTGATGAATCACTATTGTTCTACAGGGTTCACGTGAAGCTATCAACAATGTTCTCTTGACAAAGTGGTGCCTCTGCGCGTTTGAATGACAAAGACAGTGGGTAGATGGAGTGTTGGGCTTAGTCGCTCATGCATGATGAGGTTAGATAGAGATGCCGCTGGGAATCTTTGAAAGCATGACCGGATGATCTGTTAATCAATTCATCTCCTCTTCTCAAACACTTCAACAAGAAATTCTCAAGGTCCATAGGTCTCTAGGGTTGGGTAGTTATGTCATCTGTCGGTCATCCATCATTTATTCATCATGTACTTATCTTCTCAATACCAGTAGTCTTGACTCTTGAGACTCAGCTATTTCATTTCACCAAAGTTCCTGACAGTGATATGCTACAGCTTAAGGATCCGACAGTGAACAGTGAAGCACATTGATTCACCATTATTCAATTTAGTGAACTAATTTGATTCTTTGCTTTTTTGGTGAATGTCTGTTTCAAGAATATAATAACTTGGCACTGTTTTCTAGTCAGTGGGTCATGTTTCCATTTTTTCAAAGTAGTAATTGGTAGGACCTCTGACTAGTTGTAGTATAGCAGAGCTGCTGCCACCAGGATTGGAGAGAATGGGGAAGCCTTTTTCGTCCCATAGGCCTCCTTTTACAAGAAACGCAGTTGAGCCATGAAAATGGCTGTTTGAAGCACCTCTCTCCAAGGCTCCAACTCGATGATTCACAGTGGAGATGGTTAAGCTTGCAAAGATGCCCTTGACACCAGAAGGAAACCAGAAGAGAGCTGGACCTCTCGGTTTTGTCTGGGCCAACAAGCACAGCGCTATGATAGCAGTGCCGCAAAAGGTGGGGGTAATTTCAAGAATGTGGGTTGGTGGGTGGGGGAAAGAGAAGTTACGAGCGTCCAGAGATAAATCACAGACTAAAACACGACGACCTCGTAAAATAAGTAAACAAACCCATCGATAAGCTTAAAATCCATCCAAGATGCGATGGAAATGGCTCTTTAATTACCATTTTAGTTTTTACCTCCACTTCATTCATTCAACACTCAACAGTTGAGCTGTTTAAAAACATGTTCAAATTCTCTTGTTTTGTTTTTCTTAAGACTGTTTTTGCTTGGATTTATGAGCTCTTCATTCCATCTGTTTTCGTACCAGAAAAGTTCACTGTGAAAAATTTCAACTCTATCTCTGCCCCTCTTACAGCGAGATAAACATAATAGCCAAAACACATGCAAGAAGGAGAAGAAGAAAGGAGGGGGAACACGTCCATCATCCATGATGGTTAAGTACAATAATTGGTTTCGATTATATTAATTCGGATACAGTTTATTTACTGGCATTCATCAGTGTTTATGAGGAAAAGTCATCTAAATTCCAGAACTTAAAAGCCTATTACAGACACACACAAATACGTGTACCAATCATCTTCATCCACAACTCAGGCAGATGAACAACGGAATTGATTATTGCTACATCAGTCTGAGGACTTTTGTCCAGGTGGGCCAAAGCCCAATTAACAAACCAATGGACCATCTAGTTCTTTTGTACTATTAGTATATTGTGGACCATAGCCCAAAATACATGATTATTGCGTTAGTTGCTTCATGGTCTCATACAGTTTTCTATGGTATAGCCTATTTGCCATTCGTTTCTTAGAACAAATGTGGGGATTAATTTTTAGTATCATATTCTCAATACTTGCACTAACAACAAGATGCTTGCGCAGTTTAGTTTTGGTAGTGGCCGATCCAGGGCAGAAAACTTCCTCCATTGTTACTCCAACAGAGTTCTTTTTCCCCTTAATTTGCTGTTTTAGTGGATTTGAGACCGGCCTTCTGAAGTTTCAGCTACTCCAATTCATTAAAGTTAAAGATCATATCGATATCGATACCCTTACCCACCCGAATATCAAAAAAATGAACGAGGCCTTAAAGTTAAAGATCATATCGATACCCTTCAAAGTCATATTCCAATTCATTACACCATTGACATGTGAAGGTCCAGACTCCAGAGCAATGGATTTGGTCATATCTCAATTGTTAAGTATTGAAGATTTTTACAGGCATGCCTTGACACTATAGACGCATGTTTTCTCCATCATATTGGACCCCTTTTGATAAAAATCTGATTTGCGTTCTAGAATGTTGATTATTTAATTATTGAGTTAGAATTAAATTACCCACATGGTTAGTTTAAGACTTGAAAGTGCATATCTTGATCCTTCTTTACCACTTACCAGGAATGAGATAAGAGGTGATCTCCACGCTCTACTGCTTCCACCAATCCTCTTCGTATAATGAAGATTAACATTGAAGAGCTCAGTTGTCGCCTAAAAATAGCTAGAAACCAAGGAAAGGTAAGCCATAATTCCCACCCCACTCATTCTTGTGGGGACTCGCCATGTAAGAGTGGATTACTCTACTTTGTCATGTCATAAATCATGATCTCTTGAGAGAGAGAGAGAGGGAGGGAGGCAATAAAAAAATTCTACTTTATTAAAAAAGGAAGCTTACATGTAGCCGTCACTTAATTTGGAAAATGGGTACCCAAAGAAAGTCATGATCAGGATCAAGTAAGCAGACTCTCTGTAAACCTTAATTCTAGGGCATGGGTTTATAAAGTAGTCATCATGAAAGCGAAAGTAGCAGAGCACACAATATGTGGCGATTGTTAATTCATCAATAACCACTGATAGTGGAGAAAAAATAACACAGACGTAGTCACTTTTTGTAGAAACCAAACACTCCCTTTTTCTCAAGGGAACCAATTATTCCACGAAGGCATTATTCTTTAAACTTAGACAAATAAGAAGAAAAAAAAAAAAGAAAAAAGAACCTGTTAACTGTCCAAATCGAGAAAGAAAAGCAGAGGAAAAAGAATGAATGATGGTTTTTTCCCTAATGGATATCAAAGTTGGTTGAACTCTTGTTTTTCTTTTCTTTTGAATTGCACCAAATCTTCTTCTTACAGGGATCAAGGAGATTAAAATATAATGAAATTCTTGCAACAGGATATCTGTTATCTTTTGTGCATCTCGAGAGGCGTCCAACAGGATATCTGTTATCTTTTGTGCATCTCCTCCAATGTGAATATGAGAGAGGTGGAGTTCCTTCGCCATTTGGAGTCCCAACTCTGGAAGTTGGCTCTACTAAATACAAAACTTTCAGTGTGATCTTTCAAGATAATGCCAATCCCAGAAAAAGAATCTGTATTTGCACCATGGACATTAATCTTTAAGAATGGGTGAGAGGGAGGAGACCATCTACAATGATTGCTGATTATTTGGTTGTTTTGAGAGGCAAGAATGCTCCCCCTCCTTTTTAGTGAAGTCAGCTCCTCAATATGTGCATGGGCCGATGAAATAGTTTTAACTGGGCTGAACTTTTTATTCTCTATTGCTTTCTTGCATCTAATTTTTCAACAGTGCCAGAGGATTATAACAAATTTGCTGAAAAGACAAAGATCATCCATTGGATTATCTCTACTCTGTTCCCACCAAAAT